CGGAAAAAAATCATACGAAAATTTGGAACGACACTTTTAATATAAATTGACGTCTAACTGTGGATACCATACATTAAATTTGCTTTAACGTTCGCGAACGTCCATACCATGTTGAATATAAAGGTTCTCGGCCGATAACCGAAGTTAAGCAACATCGGGCGTGGTTAGTACTTGGATGGGTGACCGCCTGGTAATACCATGTGATGTTGGCTTTTTGCTCTTTATTTTCGTGTCATCTTGTCAGACATTCAGCGCCATCTATCGAATAGATAGGAAATCATTTCGCAAGGAGATTTTACCAATGTATAAATTGTTTTAATTGTTTTTAATATGTAGGTAATAGCCGCTTTCATAGATGGCGTTGTAATTAAAATCGTGTCAAATCAGTTTTACTCGATCGTCACAACTTCGTTCCTATCGGGTGTCCCACGACACCCGATAGGAATTTTTATATTATATTTTTTTGTTAAAACATCATCATCATTAATAGATTTTAATAGTTCACTGCTGGACCTGCATTGGCCTCTCTCCTTAGAATTGAGGTTTTATCCTGCTGTACCACGCTGTCCAGGCGGGTTGATATAGTTTTGTTACAAGTTTTCCTTCTCTTTACAATGCTGTTGTCCTGCGTAGTTTACTCCCTTCATTGTTATCATCATCAACAGCCTTTAGGTAATAGTCCACTGCTGGACATAAGCCTCTGATTAGAAAGGAGGTTTTGGCCTACTATGCCACGCTGGGCAGACGCGTTGGTATAGGGTTAGTTTCAAGTTTCCTTCTTTTTGCAGTGCTGTTGTCCTGCGTAGTCTGTATATCCTTAATCCGTCGCCACACGGACTTTTAAGTAATATGAACATTCCAAATATTATGTGCTTCTATGCGCCATATTTGTTTCAGAAGCGGCACAAATAATTTTATTTACGAATACACTCAATTACTCGTAGATGTTGATTTATTTTCGTTGGATCCATTTGATTTGACCGCCTCGGTGGTGTAGTGCGACTATGCTGAGGTCTCGGGTCCGATTCCCGGGTCGGACCAAATGTTTGTATGATTTGCAAATATTTGTTTTAGAGTTTGGGTGTTTTCTACATAAAAAGAAAATTATAAAAGTATTCTTTCAGTATATCTAGTTTTCATAGGACTAGCTCTACTTAGTTTGAAACTAGATGGCGTTGTGTCAGATGTCCTTTGAATCCTATGTTGAAACAATATGTGTACTATGCCGAAGAAAAGTGATTTACCTTTAACGATAATTAAAAAAAAAGTTGTACGATATCTCATCATCATCATCAGCCTATCGCAGTCCACTGCTGGACATAGGCCTCTCCCATTGCACGCCACTTCGATCGAAGTTCGGCTTCTCGCATCCAGCTCTTGCCAGCCATCTTGCGCAGTTCGTCACTCCACCTGGCCTGTGGGCGTCTTACGATATCTCATCATCATCATCATCAATAGCCTTTACTAGTCCACTGCTAGACATAAGCCTCGGCTTAGAAAGAAGGGTTTGGCCTACTATACCACGCTGGCCAGCCGGGTTGGTACACAGTTTGTTTCAAGTTTTCCTTCTCTTTGCAGTGTTTTTCCTTCTCTTTTACTTGTTACAGTTGCCCTGCGTAGTGTATTCCCTTAATCGGCTCTTACGAAACCCACGTGATGATTAGGGGTGGTGACATTCCATATGCTTAATCCGTCACCACACGGACGAGATATTTTGATGAGCATTATATAGAAGAACTGTACCACCGTTTCTGTATATAAAATTCAATCCTGTTGATAAAGAAGTGAATGGGATTTGATCACTAACAGTACTTTGTGCTTTGATGAAGTTTTACACAAAATAACTACAGTCTCTTTATGAAATGGTTCTGCGTATCTATAGATAGACGTAATGACAAACAGAACAGCGATATTATAAGGATGGCGTAGTGGTTTAAGCGGTCGCCACGCCGCTCCCTACTGCGCCGAGTGTTGCGGGTTCAAACCCCACATGGGACGACACTTTGTGTGATCCACAAATTATTGTTCTGAGTCTGGGTGTTTCCTGTGTCCGTTTCATGTATGTTTGTAAAGTCCCCCGCGACACAAGATATATTCCTAATGCGGGAGTTGTCTTAAAAAAAAAATGACAAACAGAACAGCGATATTATAAGGATGGCGTAGTGGTTTAAGCGGTCGCCACGTCGCTTCCTACTGCGCCGAGTGTTGCGGGTTCAAACCCCACATGGGACGACACTTTGTGTGATCCACAAATTATTGTTCTGAGTCTGGGTGTTTCCTGTGTCCGTTTCATGTATGTTTGTAAAGTCCCCCGCGACACAAGATATATTCCTAATGCGGGAGTTGTCTTAAAAAAAAAAATGACAAACAGAACAGCGATATTATAAGGATGGCGTAGTGGTTTAAGCGGTCGCCACGTCGCTTCCTACTGCGCCGAGTGTTGCGGGTTCAAACCCCACATGGGACGACACTTTGTGTGATCCACAAATTATTGTTCTGAGTCTGGGTGTTTCCTGTGTCCGTTTCATGTATGTTTGTAAAGTCCCCCGCGACACAGGGTATATTCCTAATGCAGGAGTTGTCTTTTTAAGAACAACAGAATTAAAAAACAAAATAAGTTTAGTCAATACTACCCTCATTTTATTGTAAACAATTGTGTTGTTGAAAGTGCCTGCATTTATATTTTTTTAAGCATTTAGGATCCAACGGAAATAGTTTGTCGGATTCAACGACAATACAGCGCAACCTCTTGCATTATTTAAATTTCTGATTCAACGGTATTATACACAATATTTTTCTGTGGGATCCAATGGCAAAAATATTAAACTGGGGAAAATAAACCTAATTATAATGCAAAGTTAATTTCGTTAATATCTTTAAAGAAAAGCTAGTAATTTATCAAGCATTACCATAATCTTGATGTCATGATTATTGTATCTTTTAATATGCATTAAATGATATTATGAGCACGACAAACAATTCTTGATTGGCGATTAATGAAGATACTGGCACAGTATTAAAGGCTTTGGTTAAGTCCAAATTTATGGAACTCTGCATATTTGGGCCGACTCGGCCGGAGTGGTGCCAGGATCTCACAGAAAACTGCAGGTAAACAATTCTTTCCAAGGCTTACGTCCAAGTGAGGTAACCAAAATAAATATTTCTAAATTTAATCTTATGCACTTCCAAATACACGGACTGCCTTGGTGATGCAATCGTAGCGTATGCCATTGCTGTTGGGTCCCGGGTTAGATTCCAGGGTCGGATCAAATGTTTGTATAATCTGCAAATATTTGTTTCGGTGTTTTTTATGTATCTATTATCTATACAAATAAATAAAATTGGAATGTCTGTTTGTAATATTAAAATAACCTTTTTACTAAATGCATATGTATGTTTACACGGTACATATGCCAAAATAACATTTTTTACAATTTTCGTCTGTCTGTCTGTCTGTTTGTTACGGGTAATCTCTGGTAGGACACTATGAGTGTCACTGCTAAGCCGACTTAATAAAATTATTATTGATCGCTCAAAGGTCGAGACAGTAATTCATTAAAGAATTGATAAAGGTAGACAAAACTGGTTTTAATGATAACACTTTTAGAGATTAGCATTCCTTCTCCGCCAGGCCCTGTGTACTCGGCGAAGAGAGTCAGAAAGCGGACCCCGGATGTTACAACAACCTAGATTTATGCACGGATGAGGATGATTATGACTGATGATGATTAGACTGGCCTGTTAGTCTAGTGGTTAGTGACCCTGACTGCTAGGCCAGAGGTAGTGGGTTCGATTCCCACCCAGAACAAATAATAGTGTGATGAGCACGACCATTTGTTTTGTGTCTGGGTGTACTTTATCTATAATATGTATGTATTTAGAAATATATAAGTGTGTTTATCAGCAGTCTGGTTACCATAGTACAGGCTCTGCCGCATTTGGGATCAGCCCGCTGCGTGTGAGGTGTGTGTGAAAAAAAAAAAAATTATGTATTTTAGCGACTACATACAAAAATATGTACCTTAACACTATCAAACGAAGAAATGCCAACCTACGGAGGAGGAGGATATTTTCGTTCTTCAAATAGGTACAATGGACCGCGCCATGCAAGGCATGAACACTTCGCCTCGTCGGAGGATTCTCTTTTGTATTGGCTAGACATAATGCCTTATCTTTCAGACACTAATCCACTTCCTAACCTTTTCTATTACCTCTTCCTATCATTATCAACAGCCCTTAACAGTCCACTGCTTTACATAGGCCTCTCCCTACAATGGAGGTTCTGGCCTACTATGCAACGCTGGCAAGACGGCTTGGTGTAGGGTTTGTTTCAAGTTTTCCTTCTTTTTGCAGTACTGTTGTTTGCACAATTTGCTCCCTTAGTCGTCTCTTACGGCACCCACGGGATGAATAGGGGTGGTGACACTCCGTATTCTTAATCCGTCACCACATGGACACGTAAAAAGATAGAACTTTGTATTAACAAAAGTTCTCTGCAAGTTCTTCTGTATTTATGATTACTACATTACTTCTAAGAATCGTAGAATATATTTTAAGAGTTAAATAGTGTATTGATAAGTAATATATGCAATTTAATTCGTCACCATCATCCTTTTGAGGGGGTAAAAAGGGGGGTGGAACCGATTTGGATAAAATTTCGTTTAGAAATACTTTGATTGAATAAAAAGAAAAGATAGTGTATTAAATAAATATTAAGGATTAAGAAAATATATAAAACATCACGCTATACTCTTCTGAAACGTAGCAGTGTCCATAAAAGCAGGCGACACTATTGGACCTATCCTTATTTTCGCCAGTCTATCTTAGTGACAAGTTTTTGCAACTTGAATTAGTTATTTCGATTTTATCAAAGCTTTAATTAACATTATCGATATAATCAGATATTATAATCACAAGTAATCTTTGATAAAGAATAGACAATATATTAGCCAGCTCTCGAACAGAGATGGGTGTACTCAGTTTTGCTGCGTCCGATCAACATGAAGGCTGTGGTTATTATCTTGGGGCTGGCAATAGCTGCTGTTGCAGGTACTGACTTTCTTTCCCTTATTTTGAACATTTTATCGTATTTCATCACCATCGTCATCATCAACAGCCTTTATTAGTCCACTGCTGGACATAGGCCTCTTCTTAAAAAGGAGGTTTTGGCCTACTATACCACGCTGGCCAGACGGGTTGGTATAGGGTTTGTTTCAAGTTTTACTTCTCTTTGCAGTGCTATAGTTCTGCGTACCCACCCACGGGATGAACAGGGGTAGTGACACTCGGGCACGCCGTCATCGCGGCGGTAAGACCCGTTATGGAGGACTAGCTCGAGAGGCGTCACGGGACCCTCTCATATCGACTGACGCAGGTGATCACTGGGAAAGGATGTTTCGGGGATCACCTGTGTCTGATCCGCAAGGAGCCAACGCCTAAGTGCCACCACTGCGATGGCCAGACCGTGGACACGGCGCGTTGCGAAGCGCGCTCGCTTCCAGGGAGCCTCTGCTCCCTGGAAGCGAGTTGTTCCCTGAACATGTGGTTCCCTCACGGGGGGAGGGGGGGGTCGTCTACTCGTCTGTAGATGGCCCGAGGTATGTCGGGGCACCAGGGACTTCCTTTCCGACATGCCACCTATAGGTGGTATCCGAGGGGATTGCCGCGCACTGTATTCTTAATCACCACACGGACTATTTAATAATTATCGTATTTAACAATTATAAATTTGAAAAAGGCATCTTAAAATTAGAAGGAAGTAAGTAATAACTCACTATTATCTGGTTAATTAATGCCACTGCAGACTGCGATAGGGCCGCCCATTGTATAACTGTTTTTTTTTATTTTATGTTTACATTGCATTGTATGTTTCCTATCCATGGTGTGCAATTAAGAGTACCAATCTATTTATCTATCTACCATATTGGCAAGCGTGTAACAGTTATTTTTTTGGTATATTAGTAAAGCGACACCTGTTGGCCGCATCGCTTTGTTGTTGATTTATCTAAAGTAGTTTGTAGCTACGGTATTGATCTCCTTTGTTCACTTTCGGACCACTAGATGGCGTTGGTTTGAGACATAATAGATTGATAAAAAGACTTCCTTTTTTAATCTGTTTTGTTATTCTGTCATGTCAAATTGTATAGGTGTTGAGAGTGTTCAGCTATGGTGGAAAGCAAGTTACTTTTGATTTTGTTAGCGTTGTTTTCTTTCTCAATGTAAATGTCAAAGTGAAATGATGAGGAGGGGTTAACTTCTGGAAGATTCCTGAACCGAGGATATATAGGTCCGGCTTTCTGCCACGGGAGACACTCTGCTATCTCGTGTCTTCCAACCTTAATAAGTGTTTTGATTGTCGTGTAATTTGAATTTCGTAATATGTAGTCTGTTTAAAGTACCCACACTAAAGTGGTGAGTATGTTCTTAATTCTACTTAAACCTATTTGTTTCTGGAACCTGTTTAATTATATGAGTGCTAATCCATTCGTAGGGTCCCAGATTTCGGGGTCAAGACGGTCAGTCTTAGACGGCGTGCTTGCTCTTTTGTGGCCTTCTGGTACAGACTCAAGTTTCTCGGTACCCTCTGGCAAAGCTGGTGATTGCGCGGCTCACGACGCAAGCGGACAGCCGTACCCAAGAGTTACGTACTTAAACTTATAATTGTAATTTGTTAAACTTTTTATCCGTATCTAATATAAATAGCCGACTCGGGCGGAAGAGGAAGTAACCTCCTGGAGGGACGACGAGGAGGCACCGAGCACCATCAGCTCGGCTCTGACGCGCTCCGCTGCGGTTTTTTTTATACCCTCTGATTTTTTTTTATTGTAAATTTAATTTTGTTTTTAAATATACATGTATGTATGACTGAGGTGTAAGTTGTTTTCCTCTAAAGAGTCCCGTAGGTTTCCCACACGCACACACTTCTTTTCTCTTAGAAGGCGCCCTGAGGTAATCTCATAGATCTCTCCACTGGGTCAGCCGGTGAGTAGTCCGCCTGAGAAGAAAAGCGGCTACAAATTGGCGACCAACGTTTGGCCAGTGATCCAAACCTCTGTGTGTGTGCTGTGTGAGGGTGCCTGAGGGTATTCACTTTGGAGGAGACACTTCCCTCCGTCCGATACTCCCCAGGACGTTAATTGGTTGTGCGGGTGCAGTACGCATGTAATAATTTTACTCTCATTGTATTTTCAGCCTATCGTACCATCATCCCTGAGGCAAGGAAAATCAGTGAGACACCTAAATTCCAAATTAAACTCAAAATTCCTACTGCACATATTTCGGGTGAGTTTGAAACATTTTTTGGCCTAACTAGTTTTTTTTTCTTCTTTTTTTTTTGTGTTAGCTACTTCTGTTCGTACCTTTGAGGTCCGTAGCGTGAAGTTGTGCATACGTGTATATTCAGTGTGTTTTTTTATCCCAGTACTACTGGTGTAATTTACATGAAACTTAACTTAACTTATAAAGTTTTATGTACCCTCCATTTTTTTATATAACCTCTTGGCTTAAAATTAGAATAAAATAGTTTTGTGATATACATACCCTACTTAAAATTTATGTTGAAATAACTTTTATGTTAATTAAACTTTGTCAATTCATTGGATTACTGTGTTAATGTTCTAAAGATAATATAACTTGTGTCTTGAATTGTGAAACAAGAATATCTTTGTCTTTAGTTGAATTTGCTTCTCAAGTTTTGAGAAATTACTTGATATTTTAATATTTTATTACAATATTTGTTAAAAATATTAGTGTGCTTTAGCTTTCTCACACTTAATAGTGAAGAAGTATACTCAGTTTCTACTTTGAAATATTACTTGATATTTTAATATTTTATTGTAATATTTGTTAAAAATATTAGTTTGCTTTAGCTTTCTCACACTTAATTAATGGTGAAGAAATATACTCAGTAGCAATATTTTTTTACTTTGAGATATTACTTGATGTTTTAATATTTTGTTATAATATTTTTTAAATATTAATTTACTTTAACCTTCTCACACTCTGTTATTAGTGAAGAAGTCTACTCAATATCATTATTTTTTTACTTTTTTTTGAACTGTAAAAGACATTAAGTCTGCATTACTAGTTTGTTAACTTGTTAAGATTATTTTTTTGTATAATCGAATTTAAATTGTAAACCACCATGGCACATTTATGTATGTGCATTAACTACCTTAAAATTGATGAACTTATTAATGAACTGTCTTCCATGGGGATTTCAGAGAATCCTGAGGATACGGTTGTCGGATTGCGAAGTGAGATGCATACTGCTTTGCGGCTTATCCGGCGTGGCCGCTTTAAGGCCATCGCCGCTGTTCCTGCCTTTGCCGCCTCTGACATGGTCTGTCAGCGGGCTTAAGGTCTTTGAACTGGAACAGGTTTTTTCTTCAGGTGACTCCGCTTCGTATTATAAATTGTCTTATTAGAGTTGGGGCTAGATACCTTCTAGATAGGTTAGCCGGTGTAGTTATAACTGACTAGACCTTCTCAGGACACCCCTTTGTGACCTGAGGGGTCCATTCACTACATTTCCTACATGGGAAATGTTCTTTCAATTGTGGTCTCGGACTACGTCAAAATTTTTCTTATTTGTGTCCTATGAGGATTGCTTCCGGCCTACTGTCGTGTTTGGGTCCCATAAGGATGGCTTCAGGTTATGTCATGTGGTGTCCTATATGGATAGCCACAGGCTTTGTAGTCGCGAGTCATAGTATCGAATGTTTTCCTAAACCACGGGGTTCGTAAAACCACATATGGATTTTGGCCCTGTTGAGGATATTCCCTGCGCACACTACGCAGGGAATACTTTGAGGGAGGGGGTGGTGTAACAGTTATTTTTTTGGTATATTAGTAAAGCGACACCTGTTGGCCGCATCGCTTTGTTGTTGATTTATCTAAAGTAGTTTGTAGCTACGGTATTGATCTCCTTTGTTCACTTTCGGACCACTAGATGGCGTTGGTTTGAGACATAATAGATTGATAAAAAGACTTCCTTTTTTAATCTGTTTTGTTATTCTGTCATGTCAAATTGTATAGGTGTTGAGAGTGTTCAGCTATGGTGGAAAGCAAGTTACTTTTGATTTTGTTAGCGTTGTTTTCTTTCTCAATGTAAATGTCAAAGTGAAATGATGAGGAGGGGTTAACTTCTGGAAGATTCCTGAACCGAGGATATATAGGTCCGGCTTTCTGCCACGGGAGACACTCTGCTATCTCGTGTCTTCCAACCTTAATAAGTGTTTTGATTGTCGTGTAATTTGAATTTCGTAATATGTAGTCTGTTTAAAGTACCCACACTAAAGTGGTGAGTATGTTCTTAATTCTACTTAAACCTATTTGTTTCTGGAACCTGTTTAATTATATGAGTGCTAATCCATTCGTAGGGTCCCAGATTTCGGGGTCAAGACGGTCAGTCTTAGACGGCGTGCTTGCTCTTTTGTGGCCTTCTGGTACAGACTCAAGTTTCTCGGTACCCTCTGGCAAAGCTGGTGATTGCGCGGCTCACGACGCAAGCGGACAGCCGTACCCAAGAGTTACGTACTTAAACTTATAATTGTAATTTGTTAAACTTTTTATCCGTATCTAATATAAATAGCCGACTCGGGCGGAAGAGGAAGTAACCTCCTGGAGGGACGACGAGGAGGCACCGAGCACCATCAGCTCGGCTCTGACGCGCTCCGCTGCGGTTTTTTTTTATACCCTCTGATTTTTTTTTATTGTAAATTTAATTTTGTTTTTAAATATACATGTATGTATGACTGAGGTGTAAGTTGTTTTCCTCTAAAGAGTCCCGTAGGTTTCCCACACGCACACACTTCTTTTCTCTTAGAAGGCGCCCTGAGGTAATCTCATAGATCTCTCCACTGGGTCAGCCGGTGAGTAGTCCGCCTGAGAAGAAAAGCGGCTACAAGCGTTTTTTTAATAATTTGGAACTAGTCTTTATGTAGTGACGGATTAAGAATACGGAATGTCACTACCCCTATTCATCCCGTGGGTGTCGTAACTACGCAGGACAACAGCACTGCAAAGAGAAGGAAAACTTGATACAATCCCTATACCAACCCGTCTGGCCAGCGTGGTATAGTAGGCCAAAACCTCCTTTCTAAGGAGAGGCTTATGTCCAGCATTGGACTATTAAAGGCTGTTGATGATGATGATGATGATGATGATCTTTATCCAGGGCTCGACCCACATGTATGTCGGTCATTCCGGTAAAAAGTATCGAACTATATCCAAACTGAATTTCTGATTCGGTTCAGCGTTTACAGATTCACCCCTTAAAGGGTGATTCCTTGATAAAAATAACCCTATGTTCTTTCCCGTGACTTAAACTATCTCCAATCAATCTTTACTAAATTTCACCTAAATCAAGTCATCAAGGGGTAACAGACAAACATACAAACTGACTCGAGTTAGAATTATTACTGTAAAATTTAAGCCAGGCCTGAGAGTCTAGTGGTTGGTGATTCGGACTGCTGCTGAAAGAAAATTTCTAATCATTCAGACGAAAAACTCCATAATAGGCTTAGGAATGTTGAGATTTTAGGATTTCGTTTCAAAAAGTCATTATAAAATTACACAAAATACACAAATCACACACGGCTGTCTGATCTCAAACTAGGCAGAGACTGTACTATGGTAACCAGACTGCTAATAAACAAACTTATATACTTCCTAATACATACATATTATAGATGAATCACACGCAGACACAGAATAAAACGGCATGAGGGGTCTATGGACCCCGGTCGTAACTACAGCAAGAAGTGTCGGAAAAAAGATTTGTTACACATTTTTCGGTCTCGCTCCCATCCGCTCAGAGTGTGTATCGCGCGATAAGGAACTTAGTTCCAAAAAATCGTCCAAGGCGTCTATGAACCCCCAGTCGTAACGAAGTTCCTTTCGCTTTTTGGTAAACGTTTGCTGTACAGCCATTATAATTTGTATTATAAAATATCAAACTCAAACTCAAACTTTCTTTATTTCATAAAATTTCCAAAATTGTTTGAAATCGTCTTCCATGTAGACTCTAAAGTCATAGATCAACACACACAAAAGCAACAATCTCTGTTTTGTCAAATAGTAACCAAATAAATTTAACAACAATCAAACCCATACAAAATCTATGATATGCCTGTGCCGATCTACAACCGCCCGTTTCCAAGGGGTTCCTTATGAGAAGAAAGGGCAAACAAATTCATGGCCACTCTTTTGCAATTCACAAGTAGATACAATGGCACTATTAAATATATCACAACATTGTTTTGATGTGTGCTAGTATGTCCGTTATTAAGGACTTAAAGGTGAAAAAACAACGAAGAGAAAACAAGATTAAGAAGAACAAACGAATACAAGAGAAAATGTACAAGTTAATAGAGTTCAATTAAAGAAATATGATATTATATATTTATTATGCATAAAATAAATAATGATAAATTAAACACTGACTGATCTATCATTTAGAGGGTAAGGTCAAATTGGCCTCGAAGAAGCTTGGTGTGCTGAACAGATCGAGGTAGTATTTCACTCAAGCCCATCGCCTCCAACTCCAGGCGCATATGGAATACTGCTCTCATCTCTATGCAGGGGCACCACAGTACCAGCTCCCTCTGGACCGAATCCAAAGAAGAGCGACTCGAATCGTCAATAGCCAAAAGCGTTACGTTACGTACGTAGAGATGTTGCTTCGCTCTGCATTCTCTATTGTATATATCATGGAGGCTCTTAGGAAATACCGGCTGCAACCTTCCGCTATCGTTCCACACGGCAAAATTTTCATTCCCACCACTTAGATAATTGCAGCTCCACCACTTTTTGCCTCGCACTCCGTGGATCAAGTCTGTCTGTCTGTCTGGATCTGTGGAACAAGTTGTCGGCTGCGATATTTTCGGACCGCTACAACCTTCAAACCTTCAAGGGCGTACTCCTTTCGGAGGCGGTAATCGCTTTAATAAAAAAAAACTGGGTTAAATTATTTAAGAGGAGAGCTGTGCACGGCGATGTACGGCTGTGACTATAGCAACAAGTGTCGGTTCGGTATCGCCCCCATCCGCTCAGAACTTGTTGTTTGACATCAGTTCACAGTTTGCTTATCAACCAATTTATATATCAATCTATCTTGGTACAGCAATTAATCGTACACAGCAGTCATGTTAATCGTAAATAAGCCGCGATAAAAACTACTATTATAATTAAGACTTCACTAATACGTGTAAAACAATTCATAGTCTAATTTGAACTGACTTTAGAAATGGTGGTAGCCGTTAATTTAACGCTTATTCTAACTCATCACACATCATCACATCAACAGCCTATACTAGTCCACTGCTGGACATAGGCCTTTCCTTAGAAAGGAGGTTTTGGCCTACTATACCATGCTGGCCAGACGGGTTGGTATAGGGTTTGTTTCAAGTTTTCTTTCTCTTTGTTGTTGTTGTTGTCCTGCTTAGTTTGCTCCCTTAGTCGGCTCTTACGACACCCACGGGATGAATTGGGGTGGTGACAATTTGTATTCTTAATCCGTCACCACACGGATATATTTTCTAACTAATATGTATTAATATATGTCCGTGTTGTGATGGATAAAGAATACGGAGTGTCCTCACCCTTATTAATCCCTTGAGTGTAGTAAGAGCCGACTAAGGGAGCAAACTACGTAGAATAACAGCACTACAAAGACAAGGAAAACTTAACACAAACCCTATACCAACCCGTCTGGCCAGCGTGGTATAGTAGGCCAAAACCTCCTTTCTAAGGAGAGACCTATGTCAGCAGTGGACTATTATAGGCTGTAGCTGATGGTGATGATGTATTAATGTAACTGTGGGAAAGCTATGGTTCGTCATGCATAGGTCGGCTCGACAGGGATTTTAGAAAACCATTGTTAACCAAATTTTTTCGTAGTTTTTCACAAAGTGAAACCACCGGAGGGCCAACTACTTTCTTATCTCCCCAGTTCTCGCGAAAGAGCATTAAAAGAGCTGCAAATAGTGGTAGTGGGGAAAAGGCTCGGCAGTAAATCAGAAAACAATTCCTATTATAGTCCAGCCATTTTTGTTAGAAGGTTTATGGGCAGATTTCTATATGGGGGTCAAACCCACTAAATCAAACCAAGTAAGATTGACTCTATTGTCGCTTAAACTTGACGATATTCTATTACCCTTACAGTTCTAGCTGAAGAAGAAGACCCGGTGATAGCCAAGCTGGATGATGGGGGTCCACGGTTCCAATATATGCCAGGACCTAACGGACTGCAGCTGGTCGATCTCTGGTTAAGGCTGAGTGATGTGCTGCAAATTGCTAGATATAACCCTGAAAACAGCAATCGATATGTCTTGTTTACCAGGTATGATTTTTTCTCATATTTTAAGTCCAGTCTAAAGTATAATATTTAAAGCGGTCACCTCGCGGCTTCCTACTGCGCTAGTGTTATGGGTTCAATCTCCACATGGGACAACACTTTGTGTGATCAACAAATTGTTGTTCTGAGTCTGGGTGTTCTTTGTGTCCGTTTCATGTATGTTTGTGAGGTTCTCTGCGCCACAGGATATATTCCTAGTATTTGTCTTTTTAAAAAAGAAAAAGAAAGTTTTTAAAACACCCATATTAATAAAAAGGGAGCAACTTACGCAGGATAACAGCACTGCAAAGAGAAGCAAAACTTGAAACAAACCCTATACAAACCCAGCGTGGTATAGTAGCCCAAAATCTCCTTTCTAAGGAGAGGCCTATGTCCAGCAGTGGACTATTAGAAGCTGTTGATGATCATACATATTATTGATAAATTAGATTCAGACACAGAACAAATGTTCACGCTTACCACACAATTTAAATTTGTTCTGGGTGGGAACCCACGACCTCCGGATTAGCAGTCAGGGTCACTACCAACCAACCCGTCTTGCCTGCGTGGTATAGTAGGCCAAAACCTCCTTTCTAAGGCGAGGCCTATGTTCAACAGTGGCTGTTGATGTAATTTGTGATGTGTCACTACCCACTAGACCCACGGGCCAGTGTTTTGTCTTTAACATGAATTTATTAAAAAAATATACTCAAATGCTATGTCTTTAATATGTATCTGCTTCCCCTTCTGCCATATAGTCTTGGGTGATGATGATGATGTTCTATTATCTTCTACAGGAGTAACCCCTCTGGTGAAGAGATCCCGTCCGGTTCTGACGTAGCCCTCTACAGCTCCACCTACGATGTTACAAAGAAGACGGTTGTTCTCACCCACGGCTGGCTGAACACCCCCAGTTCAGACTTCAATGTTCAGTTAATCAGTGGTGAGTTGGTTTTATAAGTGGGAGAGCCATGTGATACCACGGCCACGAAAACCAAGTGACGGAAGCTGCCAGAGCCCAACACCCGTACCCCCCTACCCCTCCTTCCCCTTGGATCTTGCATAAAAGGTGGCAATCCTTTCTCTAACTCTTGAATTGCAGGTGTGCATCGATGGCGGTACCTTCACGGAACCCGTCTGCTCGTTACCCGTATGTTGCAGCCTGTTAAACCCCCTCTCCCTCTTCCCAGAATCCGGGGAAGCCTCACTCGCGTCTGTTCACAATTTATCCATCATCATCATCATCAAGAGCCTTTAATAGTCCACTGCTGGACATGAGCCTCTCCTTAGAAAGAAGGTTTTGGTTGGAATAGGGTTTGGGTCAAGTTTTCCTCAATTTATCCGCTATACTACAATTAAGTATAGTCGTCTATAATGTTTTTCAATCAGGGTGATTTTTAGTGGAAACATTAAAAAACCCTTGGCTCCTGCATCACCATGATAAGATCCTACTAGAGCCAGAGATTTAAAGGGATTCCCCAAGCCCCCTAAAAACTAAAAATACTGGTAGATAGATATGACCTTAAAATAAAAATACATAGTACAGAGTTACATATATTTTTTCCTCTTTCATCGTATCGTATGGAAAAGTAGGCACCCTGGCTTCGCCAAACTTGGGTCAATTCAAATCTTGGCTTCATGAATGTCTGTAAAGCAACCAGTACTTCCACAGAATGCAGGAAATCAAGAGAGATGATATTGCATATCAAAAATCTTGACATGCTCCAAATATATTCTTCTTGCAGCTTACCTGGATGCTGAGGATGTCAACGTAATCATGGTGGACTGGAGCGAGGGAGCTGCTCCCAATTATTTAATTGCAATGAACAATGTCATCAAATCAGGTAAAGTTTACTATTCAAATTAACTTTTTTCCTCACACAACCGACCAGTGACACAAATTGCGGCGTTGCCGATACGACCTTCAAACCTTCAAGAAACAAGCGTAAAGAGTACGCCGACACCGCGCTTGTCACTCCTGAGTTGCAAGCGTTCATGTCACTTTCCATCAGGTGACCTGTCTGCTCGTTTGACCCCTACCCCATAAAAAAAATATCACTACAAAGAAACCCTGAGAAAGAATATGGGACAAATCCTGGATGTTCTTTATCATGTATTTTTTTATTGAAAGTTTGACAAGACGCAGAAGACGAAGAAGCTTTGCCCAGCAGCTCTTTAAAAAATCTCCCTCCGAGTCTTTTTTCCCAAACTAGGTTGGGTCGGCTTTAAGTTTACTACGATTCGGATGCACTTAATTTTCAGACTTCCACAACCCAAGTACTAGGCGATATCGAAGTTCTGTAGAAAGACTCTTTTAGAACTTTTTAGGGGTCCAAGTACCCATAATAGTTGCCGCAGATGTTCGTTTAGCCACCGGGACCGACGGCTTAAGCGGAGGGGTCTCAATATAATAATAATAATATATCTCACACACGGCCGTCTGATCCCAAACTAGGCAGACCCTGTACTATGGTAACCAGACCGCTGATAAACATACTTGTATATTTCTAAATACATACATATTATAAATAAATTACACCCAGACACAGAACAAATGACCGTGCTCATCACACAATATTTGTCCTGGGTGGGAATCGAACCTACGACCTCCGGTTTAGCAGTCAGGGTCACTAACCACTAGACCAACAGGCCCGTTAAATCCGGCTGTCGGGCCCGTCAATGTGTTAAGAAATGGTCACCCATCCATAGACTAACCTGTCTAGGATTGTTTCACTTTGCAATGTGTTAACCTACTAGGTTACCACTTAACCACAAACCACCAGCTCTTTAATAAATATTCAAATAAATTCTTAATGCAAACTCTTCTGAAAGAACTTCCGTGTGATTTAATTTCATTTCTGGTGTCCAGCTGACCATGTCGGGAAATTCGTCAAGTGGTTACTCGATATCACCGGAGGAGACATCAACAATTACCATATCATCGGCCACAGTCTTGGAGCACATCTCGCTGGAATTGTTGGAAGATATTTGGATGGGAAGGTTCCTTATCTGACTGGTGAGTCCTGAAATCTTCCTCTCAAATTCTTTAAGGCGGTAGTCATTACCACCAGGCGTCTTATTAACGTTAAGTGACTACTCAACAGCATAGAAAAAAAACATGAAAACCCTGAACTCATGATGCAGCATGTTAAGGGAATTTCATATTAATCATAATATCTAAAAAAAAAAATTGAAGTGTCTGTTTCATCATCTGTCTACCCTTTTCCCAATTTTATTTGGGGTCGGCGCAGTATGTATGATTTTGAGCCGTGTGGTTCTCGGCGGAGTAGAATAAGGCCAACCCATCTCTTCCCGTGGGTGTCGTAAAAGGCGACTGAGGGAATCTTTGGACTGTTTATCATCAGACAGTATATATACAGTCCGTGCTGTACTTGCCCTGGTGGCCTCTCCAACCGCTGGATATTGGGACATACCGCAGTCTAAGTCCTGTCTCCCATCCTAGTACTGCGGTATTCCCCCACCCTAATTTACCTCTCTCATCCAATCCTCTCACCCCCGATGTTTCCTTTTTTCCCTTCCCTATCGTATAAATGACTACATTCCCAAGGAGGGTTGGCGACAGGCAGGCGGCCGGCCATAAAATGAATTAGCCAAAACCACTATAATGCAGTATAAGTATGATACAAATTGAAGCGTCTGTTTGTAATGTCAAAATAAAAGGTTTTTTTTCATGCTTACAGAGTTATTTGCACGATACCTATGCCTAAAAGCCAGCTTAAATATTTCTTGTCTGTCTGTCTGTCTGGTAATTTTCAAAACGGCTGGACCGCTGTTTGCTTGTAGCTGTTTATATAAGGAGTAACCGTGTGAGCATGAAATAAACCTATTATTTTGACATTACAAACATACACTTCAATTTTATTTACATGTATATAAATACACTTGTATTTATTTATCGTTTTACTTTTTGCGTGGTTATCGATTATTAAGTCGATATCAAATAATAATTGGACGACTGGATGGCGTAGTGGTTTGTGTAACGGACTGCTATTCCAAAGGTCGCGGGTTCGATTCCCGCTCAAGTCAAACATTTGTGTGCATGAACATTTGATGTTTGATTTGGTCTGGGCGTTTCTATGTAAAATAAGTATGTATTTACAACAAAAAAAAGTATATATGTATTTATATCGGTTGTCTAGTACCCATAGTACAAGCTCTGCTTAGTGTGGGACTAGATGGCGTTGTGTGTATGTGGTAGAATATAAAAAAAAAGAAAAAAAATTACGAGACGCTCTAATCGGTGTATCATCACCATATCGGGTTTATGCGACAATATTTCTGTCAGTAATGATAGATCTTTTCGACCGTTTTTTTTAAACTGTAAAGATTGTACTTCAGGGCAATGTATAGGTATACCTGTATATTGTAAAATATAGAAAGTTAAAGTTATCTTTAATTCATTTTTGGGGTTCCATACCTCAAACCGTAAAAAAGGAACCCTTTGAAGATCACTTTCTTGTCCATGTGTCACCACCTATTTTCTCAGGAACGGGTAGACCTAGCAAGTTGAAATTTATACCAGATACTGAGGTATATGGTCCCTATTAGGTGTATAATAATCAAGGTCCTCAGTCAACATGATAAAAAGATATGGGTAAATTCCGATTTTTGCGAAAACTTGTAAGTGCCAAAATTTACCTTAATTTTTATTTTATTTTTTATTTTTTTAGAATTTTCTCTTCACTTGTGCTGTGAGACCTTACTTTTAACCAAAATTGACAATTCTAGGTCAACCAGAAGAACCCTATAAGTTTTGGGTCGAAAACCTATATTTTTTAGTTCCCGTTGACCTAGAATCACGAAATTTGTTAAAAAGAAAAGTCTTACAGCACAAATGAAGGAATAATTCCAAAAAATAAAAAAATTGAGATACATTTTGGTACTTACATTTTTCGCGAAAATCTACGTAAAATCTGGGTGGGTACGGAACCCGCGGCGCACGAGTTCGACTCGTACCTGACCGGTTTTTTATTTTTTAAGTGGAAACTTCTTTAGGCGCGTTGGGCATTCTTGAACAACAAACAAAAAAATTAATTTTGTGATGGAAAAAAAACATTGAACTCGCGACATTGTTATCGTTACCGACACCTCTGTATATAAATATCTAAACTTTAAAACGAACGAAACGAGTGTTGAGTTTGGTTTGAAATACATTGATAATATAGACATATATTGTGTATATACGTACAACATAGATATATATTCATAACGGAACTTTCCGAATCCTTTTTTTTAAATCATATTTATTTTAATTTTTAAAGTTCTCGCTTCTATCGACACTCCCAGAGCGTCACTATCTTTTTTATTATTTGAAATCGTCTCTTATGTAGACTAAAATCATAGATCAACACACACAACAGCAACAATATCTGTTTTGTCAAATATTTACCAAAATAAATACAATCCATTATATTTATACAAATATAATATACCATGCCCGCGGCTCCGCCCCATTTTTTTTTTTTTTTTTTAACCGACTAAAACCGCACGCCGTCTCGGGTACTAATAGCCGAGGAACCAGGTATACCCTAAAAAGGAAGTCCCTGGTGCCCCGACATACCTCGCGTCATCTACAGACGAGTAGACGACCCCCCCCCCCCCCCGTGTGGGAACCCCATGTTCCCTGGAAACGAGCGCGCTTCGCAACTCGCTCGCGCGGCTCCCCCCCCTATTCACGATATATCTTCATACCAAATTTTATCTTCATCGGTTTACCAATTATTGACTCCCCATACAAGCTTCCACCTCGCTTTTCAGCCCCTTAAAGGATGATTTCTGGGATAAAAATCCTATGTCATTTCCCAGGACTCAAACTATCTTTGATTTTACCGTCCGCGTGGTGACGGATCAAGAATACAGAGTGTCACCATGTCTGTTCATCCGAAGAGTATCGTAAAAACCGACTGAGGGAGCAAACTACGCAGAACAACAGCACAGCAAAGAGGAGGAAAACTTGAAACAAACCTTAAATTAACCCATCTGGTCAGCGTGGTATAGTAGGCCAAAACCTCCTTTCTAAGGAGAGGCCTATGTCCAGCAGTGGACTATTAAAGGCTGTTGATGATGAACAGCACTCGGTGAAAAACAACAAAAGAATTGATTAATTATTTTTTTCGCCGGACGGGTTGATATAGGTTTTGTGTGTAAGTTTTAAGTACGCAGAACAACGGCACTGAAGAGAGAAGGAAAACTTGACACAAACCCTATACCAACCCGTCTGGCCAGCGTGGTGTAGTAGGCCAAAACCTCCTTTCTAAGGAGAGGCCTACGTCCAGCAGTGGACTAGTAAAGGCTGTTGATGATGATGATGATGATGTGTAAGTTTTTCTTCTGTTTGCAATGCTGTTGTAAAGCGTAGTGTGTCCCCTATGTCAGCTGGTGAATGAATGAACCTATGAATACGGGTGGTGAAATTTTATATTCTTAATCCGTCACCACACGGAATCGTCAGGTTACTGAATGAGTGAGGTTACTGAAGACTAAGCTAACCTCTTCACTCTCTCAGTTGTAGGAGCGGCTTACACCTGCAACTCTTAAGCTTCGGGTGTCCATGTGGAGTAGTCACTTACTATCAGGTGATTCTTCTGCTATTTCATGTTTATTTTCTCCAGGATTGGACCCAGCATTGCCGGGATGGATCACGCATAAACAGTCCATCAGCAAGGATGTGGCTCTTTACACGTAAATCATCCACACCGACGCTGGTCTCTCAGGAGTCCTGCTCCCTCGTGGTGATGTAGACTTCTACCCTAATGGTGGACGAGAAATGCCTGGTTGCAGCGACAGGAGCTGTGATCATCACAAGTTAGTATTACTGCCTGTGTTTTAGTATATTTGTTTATTCTTTTTTTTTAGACAACTCCCGCACTAGGAATAAATCCTGTGTCGCAGGGGATTTTACAAACATACATGAAACAGACACAAGGACTACCAGACTCAGAACAACAATTTGTGGATCACACAAAGTGTTTCATGTGGGGATCGAACCCACAACACTCAGCGCAGTAGGAAGCGGCGAGGTGACAGCTTAAACCACTACGCCATCCGTGCAGTCAAGTCAGTTGTAATAACTGCTGAGCCAGAGGTCGTGGGTTCGATTCAAACCCAGGATAAATAATTGTGTTATGTGCACGATCATTTTGTTCTGTCTGGGTGTAATTTATCTACAACTAGCTGAGACCCGCGGTATTACCCGCGTTTGTTGTTATAACCGCGGGCAACGCCGCGAGGCGAAGCTAGTCTAAAAAAAGTAGCCTAAGTTACTCCTTATGTCATCAGCTATCTGCCAGTGAAAATCCCGTCGAAATCGGTAAAGCCGTTCCAGAGATTACCCGGAACAAACAGACAGACAGACAGACAAACAGACAAAAATTGTAAAAAATGTTATTTTGGCATATGTATCGTGTAAACATACATATGCATTTAGTAAAAAGCGGTTATTTTAATATTACTAACAGACAATCCACTTTTATTTATTTGTATAAATATAGATTTGATGTATTTATTTTTGAGTGTCTCGGTGGGGCAGTGGTAGCGTATGCGACTGCTGTTCTGAAGTTTTGGATTCAATTCAATTCAAATATTTGTATGCTCTGCAAATATAAGTATTCTATCAGTAAATCTACCTTTTATAGTACAAACTCTGCTTAATTTGAAACTAGATCGCGTTGAGTGTTAGATGTCCGAAATATTATTATTTAGAAATATATAAGTATGTTTATCAGCAGTCTAGTTACCATAGTACAGGCTCTACCTAGTTTAGGATGAGAAGGTCGTGGATGAGATGTATGGAGTTATTATTTTTATCATAAGCAACTATTTTAGGGCTCACAATTTTTTGATTTTTTCAGTAGCGACTAAGAAGAAAATTTTGCAGAGTTATCTTGTAATTTATTTTATTTTATTTTACATCTTCATGCACTTATGTACATCGGCGGACTTTATGCCCTGAGCATTCTCTACCAGCCAACCTTTAATATAATCTTATCTGTTCTTCGACATAGGATCTCCATATTGGAAAATAGAGGTAACTAAACCAGCTGTGACGTGGTGACGGATTAAGAATACGGAACGTCACCACCTCTATTCATCCCGTGGGTGTCGTAAGAGCCGACTAAGGGAACAAACTGCACAGTCCAACAGCACTGCAAAAAGAAGGAAAACTTGAAACAAACCCTATACCAACCCGTTTGGCCAGCGTGGTATAGTAGGCCAAAACCTCCTTTCTAAGGAGAGGCCTATGTCCAGCAGTGGACTATTATAGGCTGTTGATGAAACCAGCTGTACCCCGCCATGCTTCATCAGCCTATCGAAGTCCACTGCTGAAGCCTCTCCCATGGCCATGCTGAGCTGTGGCATGTTGTGGTTGCATTGATGAGACATGAAGTAGATAGAAACAATATTTAAAGCGTGTTGTATATCGTGTCAAAATTTGAGCTCAAACCGTGCAGCACTTTTTGAGTTTTTGAAGCGTACACAAACCAACTTAGAAACTTAGAACTTATATATAAGACTAGCTGACCCGCGCAACTTCGTCTGCGTCTCTCAATAGTAATAAATTTTCTCCGTTTTTGAAACTTTCTTCATTGGTGCTCCGCTCCTATTGGTCTTAGCGTGATGATATATAGCCTATAGCCTTTCTCGATAAATGGGCTATCTAACACTGAAAGAATTTTTTAAATCGGACCAGTAGTTCCTGAGATTAGCGCGTTCAAACAAACCAACAAACAAACTCTTCAGCTTTATAATAATAGTATAGATTGACAATAAAACCTATTATTGTATTAGCTTGATTATTTTATTTCCAGGTGTGTGTTCTACATGGCTGAGTCGCTCAGGTACGGTGGCTTCACTGGCGCCCGTTGTGATGATTTCTCCGCTGCGCTCGTTGGCAGATGCCAAGGTCCTGACTCCCTGAAGATGGGTGGTACTAAACCTAAAACTGGGTAAGTGCATTTATTTTACATAATTTAGTTTAAAAAGTCATCACCGCTTCAGTGCACTTAAACTGAACTTGCACTCCTGGGAGTGGTATTTTTATTCAAATTTTAATGGAAGTAAACAGGACACATAATCGGTAAAATACTGACTGCACGGATGGCGTAGTAGTTTAAGCGGTCACCTTGCCGCTTTCTACTGTGCTATGTGTTCGATTCCCACATAGGACAACACTGAATCACAAATTGTTGTTCTGAGTCTGGGTGTTCTTTGTGTCTGTTTTATGAATCTTTGTAAAGTCATCGACACAGGATAAATTCCGAGTGCAAGAGTTGTTTAAAAAAAAACGGAATTTGCCATTTCAAAATGACATTTCAATAAATAATTAACTCAATTGATTCCTGTAGTGGTCATTAGACGGCAATAGAGATGCCCCTATTTATAACGTCAGTGACTGGCCTGTTGGTCTAGTGGTTAGTGACCCTGACTGCTAAGCCAGAGGTCGTGGGGTCGATTCCCACCCAGGACAAATAATTGTGTGATGAGCACGGTCATTTGTTGTGTCTGGGTGTAATTTATCTAAAAATATGTATGTATTTAGAAATATATAAGTATGTTTATCAGCAGTCTGGTTACCATAGTACAGGCTCTGCCTAGTTTGGGATCAGGCGGCCGTGTGTTAAATGTATGAAAAAAAAAAAAATGACATAATTACAAAATGGCTGTACTTAATACCCTGTATACCAAATGGCCTTTTTTTTTGTTTTTTTTCTGTGCGGAAATCCCCTCGGATACCACCTTTGTCTGTAGCTGTGTCGGACTCGAACCGACTAAAAACCAGATGTACCCAGAAAGGAAATCCCTGGTAAACCGACGTACCTCGGGCCATCTACGGCAGGTAGATAACCCCCTCCTGTAATGGGAACCCCAATGTTCCCTTGGTGCGCGCGTCCCGCCGTCACCCCGGCCTGCTTCTGCTAGGGTGACAGATGGCCTCACCCGTCACCCCCAGGCCTACGCGTATACCAAATGCCCTGTGTACAAAATATAGACGGCGATATGAATAGTATAAGTGAACTAATTGTGCGTGTATGTATGTGTTAGGGAATTTGACTTACCAGTCAAATAATTTAGTAAAATAAAATGTTTTGTTTCCAGGAGTTCCGGCATCTTCCACTTGGACACCAATGCAGAGTCACCTCTATCTAAATTTTAATAAACTTTAATTAAGGAATCGTTTTGTTTTATTAATCCCCGAAGGAAAACGAGAGATGTTATAAGTTTAATCTGTGTATCTGAGTGTCTGTGGCATCATAGCTCCCGAACGGATGCACCAACAAATACAATTACTTTGTGGTAGTAGGTACCCCAACAAACATACATGCAAACATTGCATACTTAAAAGATTGTAAATTGTATACTCATTCAGTCATATCCTGACTAAAAACAAGTTAAACAAGTTATCGGCTGCAGTATTTCCGGACCGATACGATCTTCAAATCTTCAAGAAAAGAGCGTACTCCTTCCTAAAAGGCCGGCAACGCGTTTGTAACTCCTGAGTTGCAGACGTTCATGGGCGGAGGTAGGTACTTTCCATCAGGTGACCCGTCTGCTCGTTTACCCCCTATTAGATCAAAAAAAAAAGACAGACGGAAAACAAAGTGATCCTATAATCGTTCCGTTATTTCCTTTTGAGGTAAGAAAGAAAGAAAGAAAACATATTTTATTTCTAAGATAAACAATTTATATATTTATAAAAAAAACAAAGGCATATGGCAACCCTGTGCTAAAAAACATGCATGCTACAATGCGGCAATATTGGCTACATGGCATTCGCCTCAGCGGCACACGCACAGCCTCACTGGCGCTAACTTGAGTATTAACAAATTTAAATCCGCAATAAAACGTGGCTTGTGCCAGAGGGCCTACTACTCGATTGTGGATTACATGGAGGACAAGAATGCTTGGGATTCATTAGCGCAGGCTATTTCTTTCTTAAGTAAAAATGTGGTGTGGCTAGTATGTTTTATATTATTATTTTTTTTCTATTTTTTATGTTTCACTTCATTTTCTCTTGTATTCGTTTTTTCTTCTTAATCTTGTTTTCTCTTCATTGTCTTTTCACCTTTTAGTCCTTAATAACGGACATACTAGCACACATCAAAACAATGTTGTGGTATATTTAATAGTGCCATTGTATCTACCTGTGAATTGCAAAAGAGCGGCCATGAGTTTGTTTGCCCTTTCTTCTCATAAGGCTCAACCCCTTGGAAACGGGCGGTTGTAGATCGGCACAGGCATATCATAGATTTTGTATGGGTTTGATTTTTGTTAAAATTATTTGGTTACTCTTTGGCAAAACAGAGATTGTTGCTTTTGTGTGTGTTGATCTATGACTTTAGAGTCTACATGGAAGACGATTTCAAACAATTTTGTAAATTTTATGAAATAAAGAACGTTTGAGTTAAGTTGAGTTGAGTTAACGTGTCAAATGTGTGACTAGACAAAGCAGCCACACTCGCGTCGTGTATCAGAAATTTGGATGGACACTGAGATGGGTAGCACCCACCCTAATACTGATTTTCAGTGCCAACCACTAGTGTCACTTGACCTCGTTGAGCGACATTACCCGTTTATTTTCTTTTCAACTAGTATCAAGAAATAAAACAAGACGTGTGGCACTCGGGGACTGCCGCGGTAAAGCTATTGCATAGCATTTTGTATCAACTTATACAATTATAATTATTTATTTATTTTATTAATGCAGTATTTCTTTTTCTTTGATATTAATTCAAGTTACACTTTTTGAGCGTGGTGACCGATAAGAAAACAATTTTTTTTCTTTTATTAAATAAAAATATTGAAGCATATTTTACAATTTGTTTTTAATCCATGTAAGATTTTTCTGCATTATGTTGACGAAATTTCCTTTGACGTTCAGCATTTGATTTTGGTACTGTTTTTTGTGTTTTTAGCGTGAGGTTTTTTTTCGTTACGGAATTTCTGGATTCGGTCCCCGCGCTCAAGGCCCTCGATAGAAGCTATGCAATAGCTTAAAACACTAAAATTTAATGACAGAAAACTAAACACAGATACAGTCTGTGGAGTTAAACATCATTGTAAGTTTTATTTATTAATGTTATTAGGTACGGAACCCTAAAAACACACAGTCGATACCTATTTCTATACATTGATTGTATAGAAATAATTCATATCTATATATATATATAAGAGATTTCCACGTATATAGTCACTCATCACGATATCTCTGGAACCATTAGAGCTAAAGACTTGAAATTTGGTAGGAATATTCTTTTCACCGAGTAGAGGTCAGCTAAGAACTGATTTTAAGAAATGTAAATAGCAAAACAACGTTTGCAGGGTCAGCTAGTTTATCTATAATGCCTGATAGAGGCAAGAAAAACGATGTAATAACACTCGACTTTTCCAACAGCTGGGAATAAAAGTTGTTCTGCTATTCCTCGGTTTTTTTATGGTATAAGGGGGCAAACGAGCAGACGGGTCACCTGATGTTAAGCAACTACCGCCGCCCATGGACACCTGCAACACAAAATTAGCCCCTCCCGCTCGAGTCAGCAGGACGGGGATTTGGGCTCCGGTAACCTCACTCAGTCAGTGAAAGGCAACGAAAGAATTGCTTAACACCGGTTTTCTGTGAGGCCGTGGTATCAAACCGGTCGAGCCGGCCCATTCGTTCAGAAGCATGGCTCTCCCACAACAAAAAACCATGGCCGTAATTTAGTTGAGGTAAATTATGTCCGTGTGGTGACGGATTAAGAATACATACCCCACTTTTTCGGATGTTTCAGTTTTTTTTTTTTCGAGCCAGTTATGTTAGTAATTTCTTATTAATGGAACTAAAATGTGCCACAGTGAATCGTGGCATTGAACAGCGGGTATATTACTGGTATTAGGGTTCCGTACCTCAAAAGGTAAAAAAGGAACCCCTATAAGATGACTTTCTTGACCGTCTGTCCGTCTGTCCGTGTGTCACCACCGATTTTCTCAGGAACGGGTAGACCTAGAAAGTTGAAATTTATACCAGATACTGAGGTCTATGGTCTCTATTAGGTGTATAAAAATCAAGGTCCTGAGTCCTGTATTTTCTCTTTACTAGTGCTGTAAGACCTTGCTTTTTACCAAAATGGACAATTCTAGGTCAACCGGAAGTACCCTATAGGTTTTGAGACGAAAACCCATATGGTAGTTCCCGTTGACCTAAAATCACGAAATTTGGTGAAAAGAAACGTCTTACAGCATAAATAAAGGAATAATTCCAAAAAATAAAAAAGTGAAAATTATGATAAATTTTGTTACTTACACATTTTCGCGAAAATCTACGTAAAATCTGGGTAGGTACGAAACCGTTCGACGCGTCGTACGAACTCGTTCGGACGAGTTCGACTCGTACCTGACCAGTTTTTTATTCTTTTCTTTTTTTCTTTTTAAAAGACAACTCCCGCATTAGGCAAATATCCTGTGTCGCGGAGGACTTTCCAAACATACATTAAACGGACACAAAGAACACCCAGATTTAGAACAACAATTTGTTGATCACACAAAGTGTCGTCCCATGTGGTAGTAGTAGTCGGCGTGGCCACCGCTTAAACCACAACGTCATCCGTGCATATTTGAAAAAGACAACTTTATTTTGAAAAAGACAACTCCCGCATTAGGGATAAATCCTGTGTCCAGCTGATTTTTACAAGAAGGGCTTCATCAATAAACTGCCAATGCGTTGGCAAAGATGCGTCGATTGCATGGGTGATTACTTCGAATAACAGAAATAAAAAAGTTTAAAGTCACATTTTAAAAAACAAACCTAACAACTTGACAGTTAAATACCAGATAAAAAAACAAACAAAATAAACTATGCAAAGATGGCGCGCTTGATGTAGTTAACTATAAATTGTTGTCTATAAATATGATTGCCTCACAATACCCAGATTCAGTGAGACTTCAGCCATGTTGATTCGAACAGTGCTTTTAATGGCGCTTGCCGCGCTCGGGAATTCAAATCCGTAAGTTTAATGCATTTGTATCTATATATATAAGAGATTTTCACGTATATAGTCACTCATCACGATATCTCTGGATCCATTAGAGCTAAAGACTTGAAATTTTGGTAGGAATATTTTTTTCACCGAGTAGATGTCAGCTAAGAACGGATTTTAAGAAATAAAAAAAAAAAAATGTAAATAGCAAAACAACGTTGCAGGGTCAGCTAGTTATATTTATATACATAAGTTTAATGCATTTAAGCAAAGATGTTTTTTGTTTTGTTTTTTTATTTACACAACTTTATGCACTCTTGTATAATGGCGGACTTAATGCCCAAGGCATTCTCTTCCAGTCAACCTTTGTGTGGTGTAGAAATCGTTTGTGTTAGGCGCACATTGGTTGGATTACTATTCAATACAAATATATACTACACAACACTACATACTTAGATTTATATACAAATATATACACAATATTTATATATATACTATACAAATAAATAGAATTGAAGTGTATGTTTGTAATGTCAAAATAATAGGTTTTTTTCATGCTCACACGGTTATTTGCACGATATCTATGCCTAAAACCCAGCTTAAATAAATTTTGTTTGTCTGTCTGTTTTTCGGGTAATCTTCAAAATGGTTAGACTGATTTTGATAATATTTTACTACCAAGTAGCTGTCTATATAAATAAAGAGTAACTAACAACTAATTTTTCCTCTCAGAAAAACCCTATAAAATTTTGCCGGGTCCGGGAATCGAACCTACTAAGGTAGCGGTTCTCAAATTCTAGCCAGTATATACTATAAACGCTATACATATACCCAAATATATATATTTAAATTATATTCGTACACTATGAATGTAAGAAAATTGTTTAGTGTACTATCGATTGGATGATTCTGCCATCTCATTGAGAAGGAGGTCATGTAGGTACCTTTACGGTCGGTTTATCTGTGTTTTTATCTTAAAATTACGTAATTACATCACAGTCATAATATGTGCATGTTTTAATTTCTATACAAATATACACATACACAGCCTATACTAGTCTACTGCTGGACATAGGCCTCTCCTTAGAAAGGAGGTTTTGGCCTACTATACCACGCTGGCCAGACGGGTTGGTATAGGGTTTGTTTCAAGTTTTCCTTCTCTTTGCAGTGCTGTTGTCCTGCTTAGTTTGCTCCCTTAGTCGGCTCTTACGATACCCACGGGATGAATGAAACGAAATATACACAAATAGACACAATAGCAAACGTCTACCAAAAAGTGAAAGGGTCTCCGTTCGGCGCCGCCCTTTTTATTCGATTACACACAAACCAACCAAACCAAACAAGGGCTGGGACCCCCCTGCTCAACCTGGAAGGCGCAGTTTATCTCCTGGAGGTAGTTTTTGACGTGACAACGTCTTATAATTCGATGGAGCCGGCTGCACGCACGAAAAAACATGACTCATGCGGCGTTACCTTGCTCTGAGGCGTTCCATTTAAGGCGTGAAGTGCAAGCGAGAGCGCGGAACGAGTGACAAAGAGGCACAATCGGCCTCCGCGTTCGGCAGCGTTCGACATCTGTCTCTCTCCTACTTGAGTGAGCGATGCGTCCGCGTGGACAGCTGCTACTCGTATACAATAATACATTTTTGAAAAATGCTACCATTCCATCAGTATTTTCTTATGACGTTGTCACGTTCAACTATCGTCAGTAAACCGACTTTACAGACAACCGATTTTTTTTTTGCCAAAAGGACGAAGATAGAAACAGGGGAACTTGTCACGCCATTTGTTTTCTCTGGCCTTGGGAGCGTTGTTCTCGTCCGCAGGAATGATGTTGAGAAAACTGTTTAGACTTTTCAGCCTTTGCCTGGTTTGGAGTTTACTATAGTGTCAGAATAAAGTCTTGTTACACATATTTCGGTCTCGCTCCCATCCACTCCAGAGTTTGTAACGCGCTATAAGGAACTTCGTTCCAAAAACAGTTTCATCTAAAATGTTGCCAAGACGAGACCATTTGGCTCGCAATATCCAAAAAGTATTCAGATGTCAAGTCATTCACAAACTCTAAGTTACCATACTCTACACCTTAATCCTAGGTGAGTGTGTTCAAAACGCGACGAAGCGCTTTGAAACATTGGCTTTGGTCCCTTGCGCTCCGCTTGGCTTGTATTGGCGGGGGCACAAAAAAAAATACAATCGATTCATATTTTTATTCCGTGTGGTGACGGATTAATAATTCGGAATGTCTCGGAATGTTTGAAGGGAGCAAACTACGTAGGACCACAGCTCTGCAAAGAGTAGGAAAACTTGAAACAAACACTATATCGGCCAGCGTGGTATTGTAGGCCAAAACCTCCTTTCTAAGGAGAGGCCTATGTCCAGCAGTGGACTGTTATAGGCTGTTGATGATGTTTTTTGCTTCTGTATAACACAGTGCTGGAGTTATTGGGACAGTAAGCAACAGTCAAACTAACAATTTCCAATTTAATACGTCTAACGCAAACATTGTGTTAGAGGTCAGGTACATTCATGAGATAAATAAATGTGAAATGATATTTATCAACCTAATAAAGAATACATAATATGTTTACGTATAATCTTTATCAGTTGACCTAAACTTGACATCTGGACTCCACTAGTTTACGACATAATTTTAAGACCACAATTTTTTATACGGCCTACCGCTTCCACGCTTCCCTTTGTCCCCCTCGCCTCCTCCCCCTCTAGAATCAAGGGAGAGGGGTTAATATAATAATAATAATATTCTACCACATTGACACAATGCCTTCTAGTCCCAAACTAAGCAGAGCTTGTACTATGGGTACTAGACAACTGATATAAATACATAAATACTTTTTTTTTGTAAATACATACATATTATACATAGAAACGCCCAGACCAAATCAAAAATTAAAAGCTCATTCACATAAATGTTTGACTTGAGCGGGAATCAAACTCAAACTCAAACTCAAACTTTCATTATTTCATAAAATTTCAAAAATTGTTTGAAATCGTCTTCCATGTAGACTCTAAAGTCATAGATCAACACACACAAAAGCAACAATCTCTGTTTTGTCAAATAGTAACCAAATAAATTTAACAAAAATCAAACCCATACAAAATCTATGATATGCCTGTGCCGATCTACAACCGCCCGTTTCCAAGTGGTTGAGCCTTATGAGAAGAAAGGGCAAACAAACTCATGGCCACTCTTTTGCAATTCACAAGTAGATACAATGGCACTATTAAATATATCACAACATTGTTTTGATGTGTGCTAGTATGTCTGTTATTAAGGACTTAAAGGTGAAAAAACAACGAAGAGAAAACAAGATTAAGAAGAAAAAACGTATACAAGAGAAAATGAAGTGAAACATAAAAAATAGAAAAAATTATAATAATAAAAAACATACTAGCCACACCACATTTTTACTTAAGAAAGAAATAGCCTGCGCTAATTAATCCCAAGCATTCTTGTCCTCCATGTAATCCACAATCGAGTAGTAGGCCCTCTGGCACAAGCCACGTTTTATTGCGGATTTAAATTTGTTAATACTCAACTCCTGAATATTATTTGGGATTTTATTATAAAATCATTACATTGACAATTACATTGACCTCGAAAAGACTTGCTTATCTTTTGGAGCCTAGAGGCGGGTACAACAAATTTATTTTTATTTCTGGTATTTATGGCATGTACATCACTTTTTTTCAAAAAGCTATCTTTATTTTTGTGAACATATATTACATTTTCATAAATATATTGACTTGCCACTGTCATTATATTTATTTCTTTAAATTTCTGCCTCAATGAACAACGATTGCCTAACTTATAAAGTGCTCGAATAGCTCTCTTTTGCAGCACAAAAATAGTTTGAATGTCGGCAGCATTCCCCCACAGCAGAATACCGTACGACATTATGCTATGAAAGTAACTGAAGTAAACAAGTCGTGCTGTATCAACATCAGTCAACTCTCGGATTTTCCTTACCCTACCTTAATCGAACCCGAGACCTTTGGAATAGCAGTCCGTTACACAAACCACTACGCCATTCGGTCGTCAAATTCAGTTGTGCTCCGGTGGTGACGGATTAAGAATACGAAGTGTCACCACCACTATTAATGCCGTGGGTGTCGTAAGAACCGACTAAGGGAACAAACTACGCAAGACAACAGCACTGCAAGGAGAAGGAAAACTTGACACAAACCTTATACCAACCCGTCTGGCCAGCGTGGTATAGTAGGATCAAACCTCCTTTCTAAGGAAAGGCCCGTCTCCAGTAGTGGACTATTAAAAGCTGGTGATGATGATTATCAGCTCCGTTCGTTAAATGAACGTTTGTAAAGTCCCCGACACGGGATATATTTCTAGTGTGGGTGTTGTCCATTAAAATAATGAGAAAAAAATCGGTTGTCTGTAAAGTTGGTTTACTGACGATAGTTCAACGTGACAACGTCATAAGAAAATACTGATGGAATGGTTGCATTTTTCAAAAATGTATTATTGTATACGAGTAGCAGCTGTCCACGCGGACGCATCGCTCACTCAAGTAGGAGAGAGACAGATGTCGAACGCTGCCGAACGCGGAGGCCGATTGTGCCTCTTTGTCACTCGTTCCGCTTCTCGCTTGCACTTCACGCCTTAAATGGCACGCCTCAGAGCGAGGTAACGCCGCATGAGTCATGTTTTTTCGTGCATGCAGCCGGCTCCATCAGATTATAAGACGTTGTCACGTCAAAAAAAGTAATGATCGTGCTCATCACACAATATTTGTCCATGGGGGAATGGAACCCATGAACTCTGACTTAGCACCCAGGGTCTTTAACCACTAGACCATCAGGGCATCGTTATAATTCATTAACTAATATAGATTGTTATTTTGTCCACAGCGTCGTTCCAGTTTATGATACAATTATTGTGGGTATGGGAGCATCAGGCTGTGCTGCCGCCTCAGTTCTCGGCAAGGCTGGCAAGAATGTCTTAGGTCTTGAAGCACAAAACAGAATTGGGGGGAGAGTTTATACCGTTCCTTTAGGTGACGGTATTGTGGAAGTAGGCGCCGAATGGTAAGAAGTTACGTAATTAATTAAATTATTTATTGGAGTAACTAAGACAGAGATGTTGGTAACAATTTGAAACTTACAGCTAATTGGCTCGGCTCGACCGGAGTGATACCACGGCCGTACAGAAAACCGGTGTAAAGCAATTCTTTCGTTGCCTTTCACTGAGTGAGTGAGGTTACCGGAGCCCAAAACCCCCTCCCGCTGACTCGAGCGGGAGGGACTCCAAGGGCAGCAACGCACTTGTGACTTTTGAGTTGCAGGTGTCCATGGGCGGCGGTAGTTGCTTACCATCAGGTGACCCGTCAGCTCGTTTGCCCCCTATACCATAAAAAAAATAAAAATTAATATGTTCCATAAATTAGGGGTTTGAAGGGTTAGACTCATTGCTTCCCAGTAACAGGCGCGGCTGAAACCCCGATGCAATGAGTCATATTTGGACAACCTAGTCCACTCGCAATCATCATCAGTATGCTGTTGGAGCTGACCCGCTCCCTGCGCACCAGGGATGCTCACCGTTTTCGCATGACGGCATAGAAACAGTCAACGCAATCAATTTGCCAACAGGTTTTTGTTTTTTTTACGTTGAGGACGAACGAGCAGCCCGGTTTCCTGATGATCAGTTTCCACCTGAGCCCATGGGCAATTGCAACTCTTGAGTCACAAGTGTGTTGTCTCCCTTTGTTTCCTTCATAAGCAGTGGGAGGGAGATTTGGGTACCGGCAAAACCTAAAACTTAATCTACTCGGAAAAAAATATTGTATTCCTCTCAGTGACCTATCCAATAGAGAGTAGGCCAAAACCAGAAAAGGCCTATGTTCATCAGTGGACTATTGATGACCGTTCCAGGCGTTAGCTCGTTTCAGCACCACCCCGGACATTGATCTTGAATCTTAAGAGATATCTCAAAAAAAAATCAGCGCTGTGGTCACTTTTAGGGACTATAGCATAGGCTGAGTTGTGGCCCTTTAGTCACACACAGTGATCATTTTATTCTTTTGTACTTGTTTTTGTTATTGTTTGTGCTATTTTTCAGTTGTGCAAATTGTTTCTTTTCTTTTTCTCATCAATGTTATATCTGTAATCCCTTTTTTGGCTGTGTTTGTGTTGTGACTAATAAACGTATTTTCTTTCTTTCTTTCTTTCTTTTTCTTATCTCTATCTGAACCATGGTTTAAAGAAGTTAACCTCTCTTTTCTGTTTCTAGGATTCACGGAGAACGCCCTAATCCTGTATACGACCTCGCTTTGCAGCACAACGTAACCATTCTCTCGCAGAACACCAACTTCATAGTTTACTGGTAATATAACCTATATATATAAAGGACTAGATTTAACTAGCATTTACACATGATGTTAAAGGGTCCAGGGGGACGCAAATAAAATGGTAGTGGACTGTATTGCTGGTAGTTTAATCACCAGGTCTTTATACGTATATCAAACTAGCTGACCCGAGCAATTTCGTCTGCGTCTCTCAATAGTAATAAATTTTCTCCGTTTTTGAAACATTCTTCATTGGTGCTCCGCTCCTATTGGTATTAGCGTGATGATATATAGCCTATAGCCTTCCTCGATAAATGGGCTATCTAACACTGAAAGAATTTTTCAAATCGGACCAGTAGTTCCTGAGATTAGCACGTTCAAACAAACAAAAAAGCAAACTCTTCAGCTTTATAATATTAGTATAGATGTAAGAATGAAATATTAAGAGGTCGGACCGTCCACGGTGATGTCCCAAACGAGCAGCGGCCGTTGGAACTGTCCTCGCGCTGCTCCAGGCTCGGTCCCCCACTCGCCGTACCGGTCAGGGTAGTCCCCCCGCACGCCGTGCTCATGCCCATTGTAGTGCGTTTAGTTAAGTCGCAGTCGCAACACATGATGTACTGTCTTTTTTTTAAATAAATAATAATAATCTGCTCAAGGATTGATAGCCTCGACCAACACCTTGAGAGGCTTACGTTAGACGGCTGGATGAAAGGTCTGATGCAGAAGGCAGTTATACTTGACACGGCTCGTCTAGTGAAGAGGTTCCTGTTTTCGGAGTCAGAGAATAATAATAATAACTTTTAATAATAAATAATAATTGGGATAAATAATTTGACTGCACGGATGGCGTAGTGGTTTAAGCGGTCACCTCGTCGCTTCCTGTTATGTTGTGGGTTCGATCCCTGCATGGAACAACACCTTGTGCGATCCACAGATTGTTGTTCTGAGTCTGGGTGTTCTTTGTGTCCGTTTCATGTATGTTTGTTAAGTCCTCCGCGACACAGGCTATATTTCTAATGCGGGAGTTGTCTTTTTAAAAATAAAAATAAATAGTAGGCTATGTTCTACTCTAGACTGTGGTCTATGACTGTACCATATTTCATCCAATCCCATTCAGCCGTTCTGGCGTGATTGAGGAACATATATCCTCTTTTGGCTTTGTCTTATAGGTTACCATCGCCAGGTATTATTGCCCGATATGTACTGAACTAGGTTGTGTTTTGATCATGCCGAAAAAACTCCCTTACAGTGTATTTTTTGTGTATTATCGTGTAATGTATTTATTTTTTCATTTTTCCTTTACTATTTTTTACTCTCTTTTGTGTTTTTATAATGTATTCGTATCATCATCTGCCTACCCTTTTCCTTATTTTATTTGGGGTCGGCGCAGTATGTATGATTTTTCCATTCTACTCTGTCATGCGTCATCTGACTGTTTACTCCCTTCCTAGCCATATCCTCCCTCACGCAGTCCATCCATCTTTTCTTCGGTCTGCCTCTTCTCTTGTACCCTTCAACTCCCATACCTAAAACACATTATACATTTATAATGTATTCGTATATATTGTTTAAATGCCCTTAGTAGATATATCAGTAAAACAAAAAAATACATTATTTTTTTATTCCTTTGTTTCTTCATTTTCTCTGTTCTTTTACCTTTACTCCCTTGACAAGTAGAGTACAGTAACAGCACCTAATTTATTTTTCAGGTCTAATGGATCAATTGCTGAAAAAGGCCTAATTAACGACCTGTTGGCGGTCTCTGTTGCTGCTTCTTTAGAATCCACAGATCAGCCCGAGCCTGTTGGACAATATGTAAAGAAAAAGTAATAAAATGTGGTTAATTATGTCCGTGTGGTGACGGATTAAGAATACAGAGTGTCATCACCCCTATTCATCCCGTGGGTGTCGTAAGAGGCGACTAAGGGAGCAAACTACGCTGGACCCTATACCAACCCGTCTGGCCAGCATGGTATAGTAATCCAAAACCTCCTTTCTAAGGAGAGGTCTATGTCCAGCAGTGGACTAGTAAAGGCTGTTGATGTGATGTGTGATGAATTATGTTAGATAGTTGGCAATAAAGTTAAGATGGATGTGTGTTGTGACCAGGATACACAAGGTGAGGAATTAAACATTAGAGGAAGCCTGAAAGTACAAGTGGATGAAAAGTTGAGGAGCAAAAGGTTATTCTGGTATAGATATTTGATATCATTGTGGTTACAGAATAAGAATAGGACACCATTAGCCTACAGGATGTTCACGTCAGATTTTAAGGACAAAACCTGTATGAGTATATGGCCATGTTTATAATTCACCTAGTAAACTGCACTCGAAACTCGAACTCTCTTTATTTCATAAATTTTTTTTAAATAGTTTGAAATCATCTTTTATGTAGACTCTAAAGTCATAGATCAACACACAATAGCAACAATCTCTGTTTTGTCAAATAGTAAGCAAATAAATTTAACAAAAATCAAACCCATACAAAATCTATGATATGTCTGTGCCGATCTACAACCGCCCGTTTCCAAGAGGTTGAGCCTTATGAGAAGAAAGGGCAAACAAACTCATGACTGTGTGTCATGTGACGAAATTCTTAAAACTAAATTTGAGATCTCCAATCATATCCGCGCCCATAACGGCAATCCATCATTGACTTCTTGGAGGACATCATCATCACTTACACCTAATTTCCGTCCAGCATATGCAGAGACTATAGAACCCTATTTTCCACCATCCTGGCAACCAGCTCGTACTACATTTATCAGACTTTCCATTCACGATCACTGGTTACGGATACTTTTAAAGAGGCCGTTCTTCAATACACTGAAGATCTAGTCAGTTTATGGCTTTCGGAACTTCCTCGCACCGGCTTGCCCTCTCACAGAGGCTTTATGAATTCCTTTATCTATTCGTTATTTGCTAATCCTTTCAGCTTTCAAACCATGGCAGTATTTCTATCTTATAATTCTAGTCATTACCCCATCATTCCTGTTCCCCCTCCTTGCCTTAATGTTTTTCTCTCCATACCAAGGTTGCCTGTAAGAGATTGCCTCTGAGCGATAAGGCCGCCATTTGTACCTATCTAACCTAGCTTAAGTTAATCTTTATATATTTATACCTGGTGTACACTAAGAAATTTATTATTATTATTATTATTATTGATCACTCTTTCAGTCAATCTTTAATTACACGTATTTTTTAGTGAGGAATCTAAATCCATTAATTCAGATCCAGGTTAGTTGTCCATGTTAGTTAGTCCATGAGTTATTGTTATTACTAATCCAATCGAATGTCAGATTTCACTCCCTTTATTATTTTTTATGAGGTTTTAATTTTTGATTTTTCATCATCAGAATTACAGACCACATAACAGCGCATCACCCGAATTTGTTGAACGACAAAGAATTTTTGGACAATTTCTTCCACTTAGTAGACCTGATGATGAGCGGCTATGAGGGCTCCGACAACTGGAACGAGCTCTCCAGCCACAGCACATACGAAGACTTGGAGGGTGATATGCATCTGAGCTGGAACAAAAACGGTTTCAAGACGCTTTTTGAAATTTTACTGGTAAATTTATTCAGTTTCCAATTTGTCAAGTTGATCTATACTAATATTGTAAAGATGAAGATTTTTTTTGGTTGTTTGGTTGAACTCGCTAATCTTAGGTAATACAGGTTCGAATTGAAAAAACGGCGTCAGGAGCCTATGGACCTCCGGTCGACACGAAGTTCCTTTTCCTTTTTGATGATAGTCATTATAATTTATATTTTAAAATATCAAGTTAATGGAAAATTGTAAAATGTGTGATAAACTATATTTATCGTGGAATTTGAAAAGCGATGCCTTAGTGGGTTCGATGCCCGGACCGGGCAAAATTTTAAAGGCCTTTTCTGAGAGGAAAAATAGCGTAAGTTATTCCTTATGTAGACAGCTACCTGGTAGTGAAATATTATCGAAATCGGTCCAGCCCTTTAGAGGATTACCCGGATCAAACAGACAGACATAAAGGCAAAAAAAAACTGGCATAGGTATCGTGCAAATAACCGTGTGAGCATGAAAAAAACCTATAATTTTGACATTACAAACAGACACTTCAATTTTATTTATTTGTATGAATTTAGGTATAAAATAAATTATGATAAATTAAACACTGAATAATCTAAGACAATTACGTTATTTCGGCGCGCGGGAGAGCTGTGTGCGTCGATGTATATACATAGTTCATACACGGCTGTAACTATAGCAAGAAGTGTCGGAAAAAAGTCTTGTTACATATTTTTCAGTGGCGCTCAGTGCGATAAGGAACTTCCTTCCAAAAATCTTATAGTGTTGGTTAGCTAATTTATTGGGGAAGTCCATATAACGTAATGCTACTACCAATAAGAGCAGAGCATCGTAGAAAAATGGGACAAAAATAGGCAAAACATTCCTTTCCTTGATTCTTTTGCTTCTAATGCCATTAAATAATCCGTAATACTTAACCTGTTAACCGGGGAGTGCCCGTTCAAATTATGCAACATGTACCGGGCGCGTATTGTTTCGCTAGGAAATGTCAATACGTCACGCCCGGAGACCCTCTTTACATAATTATTTCAATATTTTTAGTTATTCACTAGCTGAGACCCGCGGTGTTACCCGCCTTTGTTGTTATAACCGCGGGCAACGCCGCGGGGCGAAGCTAGTCCAAAAAAAGTAGCCTCAGTTACTCCTTATGTCATCAGCTATCTGTCAGTGAAAGTCCCGTCGAAATCGGTCCAGCCGTTCCAGAGATTACCCGGAACGAACAGACAGACAGACAAAAATTGTAAAAAAATGTTATTTTGGCACATGTACCGTGTAAACATACATATGCATTTAGTAAAAAGCGGTTATTTTAATATTACAAACAGACACCCCAATTTTATTTATTTGTATAGAGTATAGATAGAATAAATGAAAAACTATAAAATATATCACATCAACAGCCTACACTAGTCCAATGCTGGACATAGGCCTCTCCTTAGGAAGGAGAGGCCTATAAAATATATATCGTTTATTAATATTTTTGAAGTACAAAAGGAACCATAAAACAAGTAAAAGCAAGTAAAAAAAATAGAATTACAGAGGACGAATTCATATGTCCTACCCGTACCCGATATTGTTTACGGTAACGGTACGGTTACGGTCTTGTCCGGTAAACAGGTTAATATTCACATGGAAACACCGGCTTAAAGACACACACATGTACACATACATATGCTCTTTCAAACACCACACACATGCACAGACGAACACACACACACACATATGCACACACATAACACTCACATATGCACACACACACATACACACACACACACGCGCGCGCACATACACACACACACACTAACAATTCTACGTATTCTGACCCACACTTCTTATAACATTGTTAAATTAATTTATAACTTTGATTTGGTTTATATTCAGCAAGCATGATGAAACTTGAAACCTGTAACTTATCTTCCGGAGGTGGGCGTTAATGGCTGCAACACAGTTATGAACTATAGCAGTCATTATCAACCATATTCTACTGTGCAATTTGTTACTTTTAGTTACAAAGAATAAACTTTTTATGTTATGTTTTATGTATTCCTTTACACAGATGGTCAGCCCGATTTTATGAAATGTTTAACTTTAACCTTTGTGGAATTCGGCATTATGTCAACGTTGTTTTTACAGAACACATATCAAGGTGGCCCTGGATACCCGACTTTGACCATTCAACTTGAGAAGGAAGTCACCAAGATCACGTACCCCCAGGACCCAGCTCAAGAAGTGGTGGTGACTTGCAAGGATGGATCCATTTACAAAGCAAAGAATGTTATTGTGACTGTTTCACTTGGGGTACTGAAGGAAAGGTATTTGAATTAATACAAAGTCTTAATTCAAGGGTTAAATTTAACTATGTTAGTTTTTCTTTATGGAATAGGGGGAGAGGGGGGCAAATAAATAGATGGGTCACATGTAATGTGGTTAATGTAGTACTATTAGTGACAATAAGTCTATCGTCACATTGACACATCACATTCCACATCAACGGCCTTTAATAGTCCACGGCTGGACATAGGCCTCTCCTTAGAAAGGAGGTTTTGGCCTACAGTGCCACGCTGGCCAGACGGGTTTAGTATAGGGTTTGTTTCAAGTGTTCCTTCTCCTTGCAGTGCTGTTGACCTACATAGTTTGCGTTTAGTCGGCTTTTACGACACCCACGGGACGAACAGGGGTGGTGACACTCTGAATTCTTAATCCTTCACCACACGGGATGGCTTAAACGCAACGTAACAAATTTAAGAATTAGGGAGGTGAGTTGATCCTATGATACTTTTTCTGTTAGATTGTTGTCCTATGACACCGGTCGAGGTGTCCACCATATGTGATGAAGTCAGCAAATTCAAATTCAAATTCCACGATAAATATAGTTTATCACACATTTTCCAATTTTTTTTTTTAATTTTTAATAAGAGATCTTCAAGAAAAGAGCTTACTCCTTCCTAATAGGCTGGCAACACGTTTGTGACTCCTGAGTTGCAGACGTTCATGGGCGGCGATAGTCACCTGTTGGTCTAATGGCTAGTGACCCTGACTGCTAAGCCGGAGCTCGTGGGTTCGATTCCCACCCAAGACAAATATTGTGTGATGAGCACGATCATTTGTTCTGTGTCTGGGTGTAATTTATCTATAATATGTATGTATTTAGAAATATATAAGTATGTTTATCAGCGGTCTGGTTACCATAGCACAGGCTCTGCCTATTTTGGGATCAGACGGCCGTGTGTGGGATGTATCAATTTATTATTACTATTTATTTTTCAGCTACGAAAACTTATTCTCTCCAGAGTTACCACAATCAAAAATAACAGCAATAAAAGATATTGCTATGGGTCTGATCGGGAAAATTATACTTTTATTTCCGAACCAGTGGTGGGACCAAGATGTTAGCGATGCCATTAGTTTCCTTTGGAAAGAAGAAGATGCAAAAGGGTTAGAAGACGATTGGACGTATGGGATTGGTGGGGCTTCAAGATCTATGGGAAACAGAAATGTTGTTACACTTTGGAGTAGCGGCAATATAACTAAAACGGTAAATATTTTTGTGTAATGAGTAATATACAATCACTCCTGATTGCCATTGCCTAACGTTCTTTTTAAACATCCGCTTGGTCTTCAAGACCCTCAGGCAAGATGGTCCCAAGACATGGCATGTCGCAGTATCCCCAATACATGATAAAAGGACTCTGTTAGGTATGACGTTTGACGACCGGATGGTGTAATGGTTTGTGTAACGGATTGCTATTCCAAAGGTAGCGGGTTGGATTCCCGGTCAAGTCAAACATTTGTGTGCATGAACATTTAATGTTTGATTTAGTCTGGGTTTTTTTATGTATAATATGTATGTATTTACAAAAAAAAAGTACATATGTATTTATATCAGTTGTCTAGTACCCATAGTACAAGCTCTGCTTAGTTTGGGGCGTTGTGTGAATGTGGTTCAATATTATTATATTATTAAACAGAGGGTGTCATAGCGTCATACAGCTATTTACTCACAATGCAAATAATTTATTAAATAACATCTAACAAATTTATTCATCATCAGCCCATCGCAGTCCACTGCTGGACATAGGCCTCTCCCATTGCACGCCACTTAGATCGATTTTGGGCTCCTCGCATCCAGCTCCTGCCAGCCATCTTGCGCAAATCGTCACAAAACAAATGAATTGATATCTATTAAATAATAATTATTAAACTATCTGGGCCAAGCCACGCTTTGCTGTGGTACATCGTGATCGAGTTAATGAGAAATGAATAACAAAACAATATTTGAACAATGTTTTATAATATGTAGGGATACTGTTAGCGTGTTTATAATAAATAAATAAAAGTGAAGCGAAAAATAAAGAGATAGTCTTTGAAGCCAGTTGATATCGTGTCAAACTTTGAACTAAATTAGTGCAGAACTTGAGTTTTTGATTTATAGATAGACAAGTTAAAAACATGCATATATATATATATATATATATATATATGCATGTCATCATCATCATCATCATCATCAACAGCCTTTAATAGTCCACTGCTGGACACAAGCCTCTCCTTAGAAAGGAGGTTTTGGCCTACTATACCACGCTGCCCGGACGGGTTGATATAGGGTTTGTGTCAAGTTTTCCTTCTCTCTGCAGTGCTGTTGTCCTGCGTAGTTTTTTCCCTTAGTCGGCTCTTCCGACACCCACGGGATGAATAGGGGTGGTGACACTCTGTATTCTTAATCCGTCACCACACGGACATATATATATATGTATTTATATTTTATGTTAGAGGGGGCAGACGAGCAGACGGGTCACCTGATGGAAAGTGACTATCGCCGTCCATGAACGCCTGCAACTCAGGAGTCACAAACGCGTTGCCGGCCTTTTAGGAAGGAGTAGGTCGTATCAGTCCGGAAATACCGCAGACGATAACCCGTTCCACAGATTGGTTGTGCGGGGCAAAAAGTGTCTCTAAAAGCGCACAGTAGTGGAGCCCGTTCCACAGATTAGTTGTACAAGGCAGAAAGTGTCTCGACAAGCGCACAGTAGTGGAGCGCCAACTATCCAGGTAATGAGGATGAAAATTTTGCCGTGTGGAACGATGGCGGAAAGTTGCGGCTGGTATTAGTCCGAACAATTCCTCGGAGCACTCTCCATAATATATGCGATATTCTTAGATGCATTGCAAGTAAATGGTTATTTGTAGGGTTGTTATAGTATTGTACGAATTAAAATTGGCAGCACAGAAGTGACTCAAAGTTTGTTAGTATTCTTCTACTTTGCTTGGTATTGGTTATATTAAAAACTATGATTTATAATCCACATTATAGATAGAGGCGTTGCCTGACGACGTTGTCCAGAGCAAGGCGATGGGACTGATCAGACGATTCATGGGTAAAAATAAAGAGATACCAGAACCCATCAAAATGATTAAGTAAGTTGCAAATATTTTCTATCACATCAACAGCCTATAACAGTCCACTGCTGGACATAAGCCTCTCCTTAGAAAGGAGGTTTTGGGCTACTATACCACGCTGGCCAGACGGGTTGGTATAGGTTTTGTGTCAAGTTTTCCTTCTCTCTGCAGTGCAGTTGCCATGCGTAGTTTACTCCCTTAGTCGGCTCTTACGACACCCTCGGGATGAATAGGGGTGGTGACACTCTGTATTCTTAATCCGTCACCACACGGACCTATTACGGGAGTATTAACTCATTTCTTATTTACAGAACTGACTGGTTCACAAACCCATATACTCGGGGAACCTATTCCTTTAGCAACATCGAACCACCGCAGCCATCGAACATTCGCGACAATTTAGCGGAGCCCCTCGTGGACAGCAGCGGAGCCCCACGTGTGCTGTTCGCTGGTGAAGCGACCAACAGCATACACTTCTCTACTGTCAATGGAGCTGTGGAATCTGGGTTTAGAGAAGGCAACAGATTGGTACCAGCAGCTGCATAAGTCAAAATAAAATAAGTGAAGATGAAATTAAAGAAATTACTTGCAAAAACATATGTTTACTTAATTTGTAACCTACAAATCCGTGTGGTGACGGAGTGTAACCCCCCTATTCTTCCCTCGAGTATCGTAAAAACCGACTAAGGGAGTAAACTAACGCAGGACCAAAACACTGCAAAGAGAAGGAAAACTTGAAACAAACTCTATACCAACCCATCTGGCCAGCGTGGTATACGAGTAGTAGGCCAAAACCTCCTTTCTAAGAAGAGGCCTATGTCCAGCAGTGGACTATTAAAGGCTGTTGACGTGTGATGTGTGTAACGTACATCTTGAGTAGCTATGTCCATAGGCTGCGGCAGTCACTTAACATCAGATGACATGTCTACTAAGTTAAAAAAGATTTAGAACAGAGTAGGAGCACCTTAAACTTGCACGCTGGAGCATTTCTGGCCATCGACTTTTTTTACTAATCTGATGGGCTTCCCTAGATGATCCCCACTATACATAATTATGTAGTCAATTTTTTACGGGTCATGGTAACTTTAAGAGCAAGGTTTATTCATTTAAATTAGTCGAGTCACCATTGTGTCAATGCTCAACACCTAACTCTCACTATGAACAGTCTGCTCATCATATCCTCTGGGAATGTAGTCTTTGGTATAATGAACGTAATATAATGCTGAATAGCTTGCAGGTGACATCTGGGGCGGTATACTATGGGGATCTTGTGTCAACTAGGGTGAATTTCCGTGCGTTTAGGCAATTCTGCCATACATATTATAGAAATCAAATATAGCTCACGTAGGACCCGTAATATTTTGTGGCCATGGTGCTTCCCTGGTTAAAAGGGTGTATGCCCATTTTACTTCATTTTGTCTCCCGCTTTGCTAAGGAGGGAAGTGGATTTACTTTATTTCCAACTCCTCCAATTTTCTTCTGATTAATTTCGTTGCGGGTTCCAAGACAGTTTAATTTCTTCCTGGGACTTCCCGAGTGTCATAACTCGGTGTGTTCGTGGGTCACTGCTGTGGATCCTGGTGTACAGGAGTTACAGTGGTGGGCGTGTGGGTGTGATTAGTCCCAATATACATATGTAGGGCTCATATATGGTGGAGGTACTCAACTGGGTGTAAGGCATTCCTCTTATGGTAATCTCAAAAAAATATTTCATTTGTTATTGTTCAAAAATGCCTAACGCGCCAAAAAAGGTTTCACTTCAAAAATCCTTTGCAAACACGAAATCGATTATCTAAAAGTAATAAATGTAACAATTTATAGTTTTTATTGCCTCCAAGCAATAAAGTTGTAGAAATGTTGTAGTCTGTGAAACAAATTTATAAAAATGGTTTTGAATATTTTCATAACAATATGTTACATAGTAATATTTGGTGAGTAATTTGTATATATACATAAAAAAACCATTCAGGTACGAGTCGAACTCGGCCGCCGAGGGTTCTGTACCTACCCAGATTTTAAGTAGAAAGAAAGGAATAATTCCAAAAAATATAAAAAAGTTGAAAATTAAGGTAAATTTTGGTACTTACAAATTTTCGCGAAAACCGAAATTTGCCCATATCTTTTTATCGTGTTGACTCAGGACCTTGATTTTTTTACACCTAATAGGGACCATAGACTTCAGTATCTGGTATAAATTTCAACTAGCTAGATCTACTCGTTCCTGAGAAAATCGGTGGTGACACACGGACAGACGGACAAGAAAGTGATCTTATAAGGGTTCCTTGTACCTCAAACAAGGAACCCTTATAAGATCAGAAGTGTAGTGACGGATTAAGAATACGGAATGTCACTACCCCAATTCATCCCGTGGGTGTCGTAAGAGCCGACTAAGGGAGCAAAACAACGCAGGACACCAGCACTGCAAAAAGTAGGAAAACTTGACACAAACCCTATACCAACCCGCCTGGCCAGCGTGGTATTGTAGGCCAAAACCTCCTTTCTAAGGAGAGGCTTATGTCCAGCAGTGGACTAGTAAAGGCTGTTGATGAGGATGATGACATCATTGGTATTGCATGCTGCAGGATTCCGTGCTAAGGATTACAGCGTTACAATGCTTATTACTCATTTCAATGCCATGTTTAATCATCGTCATCCTTCGAACTTTTCGAAGGTTTCGAAGGTTCGAAGGCCAACCTTGGCGTCGGCTTTCAGTCAACTACGACACGGCTGAGCTTCGATTTTTTACATGGAGCAAGTGCCATCAGACCTCCACAACCCAAGTACTAGAAGATATCGAAGTTCTGTAGATAGACTGTTGTCGGACTGGTTAGGGCTCCAAATACCCGTAACGATTGTCACAGATGTTCGCATGGCAAGCGGGACTAACCAAGTGTATTTCAAGCACGTAGGGGTCTCAATGTGTTAAGAATGGTCACCCATTAATAGACTGTCCTGACATCGTACTCGGTTACCACTTAACCGCGAGCCCCTCACCTCTTTCAATGACATGTTAAATATGATAAAAAAATGTAATTTCAGCTTTTCCTCTAGCAAGATCTAGGAAGTATGACATCGAGGAAGAATCTATGAGGCTCTATGGCGAAGACTCTACCTCTGTTCTTCACCGCTTCAGGAGGACTGCTGAATATTTAAAAATCTTAAGCGATAGGGTAAGAATTGAACGCGGGACTGAGCTTAGTCAGAGGGAAAAACTGCCTTCTTAAAAAGCGTAGCAGACCCACGTTCCGGCTCGACCGGAGTAACACTACGGCCTCACAGGAAACCAGGGTTGAGTCAGTTCTTTCGTTTCTTTTCACCGAATCAGTAAGGTTACTGGAGGGTCATCCATCAATCCTCTGATTTTGGGGAAGTGACAAACAAAGTGTGGAAAAGCACTAGTATCTCTTGCAGGGGTCCATTTGCCCGCCCCCCTCATAATTACAACGGAGGGTATTTACAGGCTATGGGCAGGTAATATGTGAGTTCAGTTTAAGACATTCCGTATGGAGACAGATTAAGAATACAAAGTGTCACCACCCCTGTTCATCTTGTGGGTGTCGTAAGAGCCGACTAAGAGAGCAAACTACGCAGGACAACAGCACTGCAAAGGGAAGGAAAACTTGACACAAACCCTATATCACCCCGTCTGGCCAGCGTGGCATAGTAGCCCAAAACCTCCAATCTAAGCAGAGGCCTATGTAAGGCAGTGGACTATTAAAGGCTGTTGCTGATGATGATGAGTTGCAGGTGTCCATGTGAGGCTGTAGTCACTTACCATCAGATGACCTGTCTGCTCGTTTATCATGTATTTCATAAAAAAGCTATACATACTGCGCAGATGATGTAGTGGTTTAAGCGGTCACTTCGCCTCTATCTACTGCGCTGAGTGTTGTCGGTTCGACAACACTTTGTGTTCTCCAGAAATTGTTGTTCCGAGTCTGGATTTTCTTTGTGTCCGTTTCATGACGACTGGATGGTGTAGTGGTTTGTGTAACGGACTGCTATTCCAAAGGTCGCGGGTTCGATTCCCGCTCAAGTCAAACATTTTTGTGCATGAACATTTGATGTTTGATTTGGTCTGGGTGTTTTTATGTATAATATGTATGTATTTACAAAAAAATATATATATATGTATTTATATCAGTTGTCTAGTACCCATAGTACAAGCTCTGCTTAGTTTGGGACTAGATGGCGTTGTGTGTATGTGGTAGAATATATTATTATTATTATTATTATGTATGTATGTTTGTCAATTCCCCCGCGACACAGCATATATTCCTAATGCTTGTATTTCTAAAGAAGAAAAAAAGTATTGCTGGAATCAAATATTTTCTGCTAGCAATTTACATACTATTTGTTTGCTTTCAGAACCAAGCTATGAACGCACACCTGGAGGAAATTGGTGTTCAGACAATGCAGTATATAGAAAACAAGTTGGCTCGAAAAGTTGCGGATTCCGTGGGCTATACCAAGGAGAATATGACGCCCACTCCGACTACACCTGCGTAAGTATAATAATAATAATAAAAAACAATAGCAGAAAAAAATACACAAATATGCAGACCTTAAGGATGAAGTTTTAAGAATCTGGAAACAACAAAAAGTATACATTGTCCCTATAGTATTGTCCACGACTGGTATTATTCCGAAACATATGCATTCTAGTTTAAAACTCATTGATCTGAAACCCAATACCTACATGATTCTTCAAAAAGCTGCTATACTAAACGCTTGCAGAATCGTAAGAAAATTTCTGCAAATAGATGAACAAATACACAATGCAATAGACGAATAGACATAATAAACTTCGCCCAAGAACCCGTGGCATTTACTTGACTTTGTCCGTAAATGTCACAAAATACTACCAGCGAAAGCTGAGAAAGAACAAATTTAACATAATAATAATATTCTACCACATACACACAACGCCATCTAGTCCCAAACTAAGCAGAGCTTGTTAAGTAATCTATACAAATAAATAAAATTGAAGTATCTGTTTGTAATATTAAAATAACCGCTTTTTACTAAATGCATATGTATGTTTACACGGTACATATGCCAAAATATCATTTTTTACAATTTTTGTCTGTCTGTCTGTTTGTTCCGGGTAATCTCTGGAACGGCTGGACCGATTTCGACAGCACTTTCACTGGCAGATAGCTGATGACATAAGGAGTAACTTAGGCTACTTTTTTTAGGCTAGCTTCGCCCCGCGGCGTTGCCCGCGGTTATAACAACAAACGCGGGAAACACCGCGGGTATCAGCTATTCTATACATATAAATGACAAGAAAATCCTTTATTTTATTTATTTTAGTCTTTATTGTACACACTGAACACGCACATATAAATAAGTAACAAAGAAATGTTATGTACAAAGGCGAGCTTAACCCAAAACTAAGTTTTCTACCAGAAAACCGTAAATGAATAGAGGACAACAGAGAAACGTAAGGGCACAGTCATGCGTATTTAACAATCAACACACAAAAGCATCAAAATTAAACAAATACCGACATTAATTAGGATAGTAAAATATATTATACATATAAATACATATACATACATACATACCAAGGGTCTGATTATTGAAGGGACAGATAATAATCAGACCCTTGGTATCCTTCTTAAAAAAGTTGAACCGACTTCAAATAATACTAACAAAGATCCCTAAAAACCTAGCAGCAATCACGCTTGCTGTCATTTTTTGAAGAGTTCTGTTGTCTGTCTCCGATACTCATCATCAGATCTATATGAAATTTAAATGGGACCATTTTGGAATAAACCCCTCACTAACGAAAAAAGAATTTTGAAAATCCGTCTAAATATGATGGAGTTATGTCCGAACACACACAAAAAGAAATTGTGAATTGATAGCCTCCCCATTTTGAAGTCTCTTAAAAATCCAGACAAGTGCGAGTCAGACTCGCCTGCTGAACTACTAACTATGCAGGACAACAGCACTGAAAAAAGAAGAAAAACTGAAAACAAACCCTATACCAAACCATCTGGCTAGCGTGGCATAGTAGGCCAAAGTCTCCTTTCTAAGGAGAGGCCTATGTCCAGCAGCGGACTAGTAAAGGATTATGATGATGTATTCTGGATTACTAGGATTACCCGGAACAGACAGACAGACAGACAAAAAAAATTAAAATAGTTTTTACGCGTAGGTATCGTTCAAATAACCGTGTAAGCATGAAAAAACCTAAAATTTTGACATTACAAACAGACACTTCAATTTTATTTGTTTGTATAGATTGTGCATAAAGTATTTTAAAAAATGTTTCTTCTGCAGATTAGGATTTCGCCACAAGGCGAGAAGAGATGATGATTCAGAAGAAACTACAGAAGATCCTATTCAGAAGTTGGATTCTTACCACCACCTGCATCGGGTGATTTCAACTAAGGATAGAAACCACTTTCGGGATATCGGCTTTGAGATGGCTGGGTAAGAGAGCGTGACTCATGTTAAGGCACAGTCTCTATACAGAATTATATAGTTAAATAGTTTGTGTGACTGTACGCACTAATCTTAGAAACTACCGCTTCTGGCTGTTACAGTCCTAAAACCAACACAATTAAGTTAGTTCAAACAATATTTAATGTTGAACATCCGTGTGGCTACGGGTTAAGAATACGGAGTGTCGCCACCCCTATTCATCCCGTGGGTGTCGTAAGAGCCGATTAAGAGAGCAAACTACGCAAGACAACAGCACTGCAAAGAGAGGAAAACTTGAAACAAACTCTATACCATTTTTTTTTTTTTTTACGTGTGGAAATCCCCTCGGACCGTCACCCCGCCGGGGCTCTCGTTCGGCGGGGCGGTGTGTCGGACTCGAACCGACTAAAACCACACGGTGTGCCCTCTTTGCGCCTCCAGTTTAGGAGGGGTCCAGGTAGCTATATCCTTCTGGACCCCTCCCAGCGCCGGCCCGCTCCTGATGCGGGCTCCGTCTCAGTGGACCCTCTCTTTAGGCAACGTCCGGCACACGCGGACGCCGCCCCCTCGCGGCTGGCCAACTAATGCGGGTGTAGGGGAGAACCCATCCCGTCCACCCGCGGCCACACTCAGGGCGGCATGAGGCGCAGGTAAGCGCGCCTCCGCCGCCCGGTTCGCCGGCGGCGGATCAGGTCCGAGTGGAGGTCGTCCTCCCGGGCCTTCTCCGCCGCCTCCTTCTGCGAGATTACCTCCTCGCAGAAGGTTGCGACCGCGGTAAAACAACTGTCGCTACCGGCCATGGAGCGAATTACGGCCGGTAGCGAGAGATCTGCTCCGATGACTGCAGTGAGGGCCCGGCGCTGCGTCGCCCATGCGGGGCAAACCGCCAGCGTGTGCTGGGCCGAATCCTCACCGCAGTCGCAGTGGTGGCAGGCGGGACTCGATTCCCTCCTAGCGACCGAGTACAGGTACTTTCCGAAGCAACCGTGCCCGGAAAGCACCTGCGTCAGCCGGAAGGAAAGGGTCCCGTGCTGCCGCCCTGCCCACTCGGCGATGACCGGCTGGAGAGCCTCCACGGCGGCGAAGCCAGCGCGTGGAGTCTCCAGCCGGAACGACCATCTCACCATAGTGGCTCGGCGAGCGGCTTCGCGCCACTTGCGCACGTCTTCGGGCGGAGGGCGAAATCCGCACTCCGCCCGGAAGTCAGCCACTCGCCGATAAACTTCGGCGAGCACTTCCGCCTCCAAATCCCACGGGGGTGTTCCGGCCAAGGCGCAAGCCGCCTCGGTGGACACCGTGCGGTATCCGCGTATGGCTCTGACCGCCAATATCCTCTGGGGGCGCCAGAGGCGCGCCCTATTCGGGGCGGTCAGAGCCGCCACCCACACCAGTGCACCATAAAGCGCCATGGACCGGACAACCCCCGCGTACAGCCGCCTCGTGGGAACACTGGCCCCGCCCAAATTGGGCAAAAGTCGCCCTAGGGCGGAGGCAGTGTCCACCAGCTTCGGACCAAGCTGTCGGAAGTGCTCGTCGAAGAGCCACCTACCGTCTAGGACCAGACCCAGGTACCTCATCTGGGCCCGGACCGGTACGAGGACCGAGCCGACCTCGATTGAGGCGCCGGCGGGTGGACCACGACGGGGCCCATGAAATAATAGGGCCTCCGTCTTATCCAGGGCCACCCGCAAACCCAACACCTCAATGCGCCCGACCACCAGGGAAACTCCCGTGGCGGCCAGGCGCGCCGCCTCCTGGAAGTTAGCCCCCCGGGCCGTGAGCAAGGTGTCATCCGCGTAGCAGATTCACCCAGCCCGGGGGGGAGACGCCCTCGTAGGGCCCAGTCGTACCCGATGTTCCACAGGAGAGGTCCTAGGACAGACCCCTGCGGAACACCGCACGACATGGCCCTGCGTCTCAAGACGCCATCTCGGTCCTCGTACATGACGGTTCGCTCCTCAAGATAGTCTGCCACCAGCCGCCTCAGGTACTCCGGCACTCCGTGGTAGCGGAGCGCTTCCCTGATGAAACAAACTCTATACCAACCCCAGCGTAGCCAACGGGGAATAATAGCCCAAAATCTAATTTCCAAGGAGAGAGCACTGCAAAGACAGGACAGGTGATGTTTATTATTGAATCACACCAAAGTGGCTTAACAGATCTGAGACTCTTTTAATTTAGGATTTTTTTATTGAAAATGACATTGACACAAACGGAGTTGCGAGTAAAAACTAGTATTATCCATACTATTAACATAAAGCTGAAGAGTTGCTTTGTATGTTTGGTTGAACGCGCTAATCTCAGAAACTACTCGTTCGAATTGAAAAAATATTTTGGTGTTGAAAAAAATAAACATAGATATTTTTATTATTTACAGACAGATGGTGGATTTAATCATTAAAGGTATGGGTCCTGTTGCACCAAGGAATGCCCATGAGGCAGCAAATCCTCGTGACCCTAAAACACCTTCGAGCATTCACGATCATGAGGTAAGAATATTCATCATTATCATCATCTACAGGATTTAACAGTCCACTGCTGGACATAGGCCTCTCCTTAGTAAGGAGGTTTTGGCCTACTATACCACGCTGGCCAGACGGGTTGGTATAGGGTTTGTTTCAAGTTTTCCTTCTCTTTGCAGTGCTGTTGTCCTGCGTAGTTTGCTCCCTTAGTCTTGTCTTACTATACCCACGGGATAAAATGGGGTAGTGACACTCCGTATTCTTAATCCGTCACCACACGGTAAGAATATTACCGGAAGCCAACACCTCATTCTGCCCTCTCCACCTCTGGCACCAGAATGAGGTTCTGGCACTAGTTTGGCTGGGTGGACTCAAAGGGCGGCAACACTCTTGTGATTCCTCAGTCACAGGTCCATGGGCGGCGGTGATCACTTACCATCAGGTGACCCGTCTGCTCATTTGTCATATATTTCATAAGAAGCTATACAAACTGCGCAGATGGTGTAGTGGTTTAAGCGGTCACTTCGCCTCTTTCTACTGCGCTGAGTGTTATCGGTTCGATGTGTGATCAACAAATTGTTGTTCCGAGTCTGGGTGTTCTTTGAGTCCGTTTCATGTATGTTTGTAAAGTCCCCCGCGACACACGATATATTTCTAATGCGGGAGTTGTCTTTTTAAAGAAGAAAATAAGTATTGTTGGAATCTAATATTCCCTGCTAGCATAGCTCCTACATCAACTCGATTGTTCTTTATTCATATACGACAAGCGCTCTGTACAAATACAATTTTTTTTCAAGTTAAGTCATTAAAGCGCTGTGTAAAAAGTGTTAAAATAAAACTTTGATTGTGAGATACAGGATCAGATATGAGATAGTTCCGCTTACCATTGGTAGATGGCGCTGGATACATTTACCGTGTAGTGAGTGTGTGAGTTGAATAGAATGCTCACGAACACTGGTCACTACACCGCGAATGTAAGAGTTTGAGGATAGAAGAGGGGAGAAGATCCAGACCCGTCCATAAATCCCACCCTCCCTACTTGCAACTTTCAACATTTAGAGATTAAAAATTGCGTAGTTTGCGTAAATTGCGATCTAGTTCGCTCAGACAGTTGTAATAAAAGAGTCTTTTGTTCGCTTTTCTTTTATTTTCTCAACTCTTCTACTAGGTATTTACCTTCTAATAGGTACTTTCGAAACGTGGGTAAGGAGAAACGACTGTGTCACCTATCGATTGACTCACCGGGCACGGTTGCTTCGGTGAGTATCTGACTCGAATTGGACGGACGGAGATGTGCCTCAGACATGGGGTACGGCAGGGAGGACTCCAGAAGCCGCCGATGCGTTCCTGGAGCTCCTTCCGACTTCCGAGGTAGGCCACCGCGGGGTTTAGTGGGTAGACCGGTTATCTGGGAGTCCCACACACGCCCTGCATACCCCCAACGGAGGGTATGGTGCGAAAAGCATTTCCAGCGAGAAAAAAGGCATTTACCTTATCTTCTCTTTCTCTCTTCTACAATTTTCGTTTATATTCCCTTAGATATTGCAATTAATTTTAATTTTAACTTTTTTAGGTACATAGTACTTTGGGTTTATCAGAAACTGTGCCAACTGAAACCACCACAGCTGCTGTAGATGCTTTTAGATTTAAAAATAAACGAATTAAGTTTTAAATACTCGTTTTTTTTAACACGCTTTTATTAGCTCGGTATGTAGGTATGTATAACTAATCTACGAACGTGATTTTGACCCACTTCAAAACGTCGAATTTAATGAGGGTTTTCTGAAATGTTCCACGTGAGATGGCAGCACTGTAGCGTCAGGTCCAACCACCTGTCAAAACACATACACGATTTGTATTTTACGATCATTTTTTTGGTTTATTCATTCTTAAAAACGTTACAAAAGGAATATTTTTTTCTAAAATGCCACAGTGTTGTGCAGTGCCTCTGTGTGCAAATAAAACTTTTGCGCCTCTCTTTTTGAGCTCAATCTTCAGTTCGGCAACCTTTCTCTGGCCGTAATCGATAATAAACTCAATAACACTTCCAAATACATAGAATTTCACTAAAAAATTATACGTTCGGTAAGAATCTGTGCTATCTGACAGCTGTTTGGACCTGACGCATACGAAGCGCCGTCTGGTAGCAGAAAAAGTATCGAAAACCCTCATTGAAACTTCGCACACTTATCACGGACCGATGACAATACAATAATTTGATAAATCTAGCCGATTATCCCTCCCTCCCCGATCTGACATTTACTGAACTTTACAGGGTAGCCATTTCAAATAATTATGTTATTTTTTGGCATAACTTTTTTAATTCTGAATCTGTAACTATGAAAATTGGCATACGAGTGAAAAATAGGGTTTGTTTTAAAATGCAGTAAAAATAACAACTAATAATTATGGACTTTTCTAGAAAAATCACATGCTTCAGTTGAATAATTAAATATCTAAGATACAAACAGTTGTGTCTTGAATGTAGTAATAATATCTAGACAATACTAATAAAAATACTATCCAAATATGGTAAAACCTGAATTTCGTATTTTTTTTCAAAACCAACATAATTCTACGATCATGACAGTTATAAATATGAGTAATGTTCGAAACCGAACGAGGAGACAAGGTGATGGGAGGTCTATCACCGCCCATGGACATCTGCAACTCAAGAGCCGTCTATACTAATATTATGAAACTGAAGTTTGTTTGAACACTCTTATCTCAAGAAGTGCTGCTTCGAATTGAAAAAATATTTTACTGTCGGATAGCCCATTTATCAAGGAAGGCTATAGCCTATATAACATCACGCTACGACCAACAGAAGCTAGCAAAAATGTTGAAAAACGAGGGTTCGTTTTTCTTCGGCAGTAAAATCCTTGCGGGTAGTTGGAGAAATCAAAACAGCAGTCTGTTTACAGAACTTCGATATCACCTAGTACTTGGGTTGTTGAGGTCTGATGGTGGTCGCACCACGTAAAAAATCTAAGTTTAGCGTAGCAGACTTAAGCCGACCCCAAAATAGTTTATGAAAAAGGCTCGGAGGAAGAAGACGAAGATGCGAGAGTCAGCTAGTCTTAATATATATATAATTCTTCTGTGTGTTTGTAACCTAACTTCTCCTACACGACTTAACCGATTTGTATGAAATTTTGTGTGTATATTTCAATGTATTCCTGGATGGTTGAACCGGTAGGTGGCGCTACATTCGATATTTCACCAAATTTGTCACCTAATTGATTAATTTTAAGGCGGTCCATGTGTCCAATGGACTATTAAAGGCTGTTGATGATGAAGGCGGTACGGTGCGGTAGTTCGCCGGACGGATGACTGCACGGATGGCGTAGTGGTTAAGGCGGTCACCACGCCGCTGCCTACTACACGACACGACACTTTGTGTGATCCACAAATTGTTCTGAGTCTGGGTGTTCTTTGTGTCCGTTTCATGTATGTTTGTAAAGTCCTCCGCGATACAGGATATATTCCTAAGGCGGGAGTTGTCTTTTTAAAAAAAAGTTATCCATAAAATAAAACACACACAGATGGCAAGATCATTTTATAAACATAAACAGACAAATATACACATATTTATATATTAACATCTCAATTTGGTACCATGTATCGCCATGCGAATACTTCGAAATGCCCTCACAAGGAACAATGAAGTCGACTTATTCATAATTATATTAAAAAACTTGAAAATATTTTGACAATTTTAAACCTCTTAACAATTGCTGTGAGCCTAGTACATCTTAGTAAAGAACTGCTTTCGTAAGAGTCTTCTCCTCTCTTCTACCTTTTTATGGTACAGGAAAACCAAGAGACATATCACCTGGTGGTATGCGATTATCGCCGCCCATATACACCTGCACTTTTTTAATCTTGCAACCTGACAAACGCTTAACCGCTTTTTAACCTACGAAAAGCTTGTTCAACCTGACAAAAGCTTTTTAAGCCTGACAAACGCTTAACCGCTTTTTAACCTACGAAAAGCTTGTTCAACCTGACAAAAGCTTTTTAAGCCTGACAAACGCTTAACCGCTTTTTAACCTACAAAAAGCTTGTTCAACCTGACAAACGCTTTTTCGACCTGACAAACGCTTAACCGCTTTTTAAGCTACAAAAGCTTGTTCAACCTGACAAGCGTTACCTCGACCAGACCAAAACTTATTCACCTTGACAATTTTTTTTTAAGACCCGTAAAATATTTTATTAAGAATTTAATAGTAATTAATTAAATTTCAAAACTATTAACACTAGAAAACGCTTGGCGGTTTAATTTAAACTGTTTTTATTGACCAGTATAACTTGAACTGTTACTGAATTGTATACACTATTGTATCGTGACAGGTCGATGTATACTGGACCCCAGTATTTTGTATTTTTTTTACCTTTATTTGTACTTATTACAATTATATGAAAGATACGCGGCAGTTAGACGACCGGCCATGAAAGAGCAGAAATGTGCTAATAATTACTATAATACAATTCATTATAAATTATAAGACTAGTGACAGCACACATTCTATCAATATTCCGCCACAAGTGGTACTTAAAAGTACCACACCACTATTGGCACTAGAATACCAACTCCAAGGTTTATATTTTTTGGTATTTTGTATCAGTTACCAGTTATACCGATAAGTGGATATAAAAAATATGTACATAGAGAAAAAATCATAAGTCACGAACATAATAAACACATCCTTTTCTGAAGTCGGTAAAAAAATATTAGGACAGTGTGTCGGTTTGTTTTCGTACAATCGCGATGTTCTAAGTTCGATTCTTAGATACTGGATTTTAATTTTATATTTTTATTTTTTACCAGCTTACCAGAGCTGACACTAAAATGTACCTTGCATATCATCGTTTATATACACTCCTGTACAGTAATACTATTTGTTACCATTGCCGAACTTACCAATCTCGACACAAGTATGAAGTAGTAAGTATTAAGCAAAAATATTTTTACCACTCACACTAAGTGTGACAAATTCTCATAAAATTCACATCAACATTCTAATTTTATGTAACTTTACTACATATTTCATGAAGTGACACTAAAAAGTACCACCGTATTATAAACTACTTTGTATCAAACATTCCATTATCTATCAGTACCTCAGTACGTACGTTTACACTATTTACCATGACTGACACTAAAAAGTGCCACCATGGTATAATAAAACTATAATTATACATCGTTTACCAGTCGTGGCACTAAAAAGTACCACTTTTAACTAAAAAAGCAACTGCCTGTGGCGTGTTGTTCGGGGTTATTTCTTTTATTATCTGTATATTTGCTATAGCCCCCGGCTAATATACCTAGCAGTATAATTAGACCAATGGCCGAATTTGACTTGAACTTTGAGGCGCAATCGTCTGGATTTTCTGTATCCAGGGTATACAACTGAAATGGAAAAAAATATTTGTTTATTACTGTTACATTTAAAATTAATTTACATTAAATACTGATTAAATAATTTGGTTGGGCCTATTGGTCTTATGGTTAGTGACCCTGAACGTTAAGCCAGAGGTCGTGGGTTCGATTCCCACCCAGGACAAATATTGGGTAACATAATCATCTGCCGACCCTTATCCCAATTTTATTTGGGGTCGGCGCAGTATGTATTTTTCTTTCATTCTACTCTATCATTCGTCTTTTTACAGTTTACTCCCTTCCTAGCCACATGGCCAAAGAAACAGTAGATGGACTGTGTTAGAGAGGATATCCTCTCACAATGTCCATCCACCTTCTTCTTGACCGTCCTCTCTTCTTGTACCCTTCTTCTCTCATACCTAACACTTTCCTCGCCACATTTTCCTCATCCCTCCGCATGACATGTCCACACCAAGATAACCTAACTTCTTAACTTTTCATCCAGTGGCGCTACTTTCAGACTCCCTCCCCTCCCTCGTATATACTCATTCCTGATCTTGTCTGCACCTTGACTGCACGGATGGCGTAGTAGTTTAAGTGGTCGCCACGCCGCTTCCTACTACGCCGAGTGTTGTGGGTTCAAACCCCACATGGGACGACACTTTGTGTGATCCACAAATTGTTGTTCTGAGTGGGTGTTATTTGTGTCCGTTTCATGTATGTTTGTAACGTCCCCCGCGACACAGGATATATTCCTAATGCGGGCGTTGTCTTTTTTAAGAAGAAATAAAAAAAATGTCTGACCGAGTCACACCACACATCCGTCAGCAGTCGCATTTCCGCTACGTTCAGGCTTCTCTCATCCGTTCTCTTAATGGGTCTACTTTCAGAACCATTCAGGAAATTCCTTACCTTTTTTATGGGACTAATCCCACCCACACGCCCACCACTGTAACTCCTGTACACCAGGATCCACAGCAGTGACCCACGAACACACCGAGTTATGACACTCGGGAAGTCCCAGGAAGAAATTAAACTGTCTTGGAACCCGCAACGAAATGAATCAGAAGAAAATTGGAGGAGTTGGAAATACAGTAAATCCACTTCCCTCCTTAGCAAAGCGGGAGACAAAATGAAGTAAAATGGGCATACACCCTTTTAAACAGGGAATTCCTTACCTGTCTAATAGCATGTGCTGCGTACGCAAGTATGGCCACGTTGTATCCAACGCCCATTTCTGCAGCTCTTCCCGCCTCGACCAAGCACCCGATGCTGATCGCCAACGTGGCACAAAGAGCGGGACGGGTGTTCTTCCCGAACGTCAAGGCCGTAGATTTGATTCCTACACGTCTATCATCTTCTTTATCCTGAAGAAAGAGAACTCTACGTACATTCTACTTTTCTGGTACAATCTGGTCCGTTATGGAATGCGCTCCCTCTAGAGATCAGGATGGCAACAACTCGGTAAACCTTTAAATACCTGTTGCGGAAACATTTTTTAAACACCTTATCAGATCCATTTTAATTTTTTTTTTACTTTCTCTTCTAGAATTTATTATGTGGATATATATATGTATATCCATATATGTCAAAAAAAAAAAAAAACTCAAAACTCAAACTCTATTACATAAAATTTTCAAAATTGTTTGAAATAGTCTTTTATGTAGACTCTAAAGTCATAGATCAACACACACAAAAGCAACAATCTCTGTTTTGTCAAATATAAACAAATAAATTTAACAAAAATCAAACCCATACAAAATTTATGATATGCCTGTGCCGATCTACAACCGCCCGTTTCCATGGGGTTGAGCCTTATGAGAAGAAAGGGCAAACAAACTCATGTGTGTGTATAGGTGCATATATATATAAATACTTATGTATTGTGTGTTTTAGTATTATTATCACTTCACATCACATCATCAACAGCCTATACTAGTCCACTGCTGGACATAGGCCTCTCCTTAGAAAGGAGGTTTTGGCCTACTATACCACGCTGGCCAGACGGGTTGTTATAGAGTTTGTGTCAAGTTTTCCTTCTCTGTGCAGTGCTGTTGTCCTGTGTAGTTTGCTCCCTTAATCAGCTCTTACGACACCCACGGAATAAACAGGGGTGGTGACATTCTGTATTCTTAATCCGTCACCACACGGACTTACGGGTTAGTATTATTATCACTTATTGTATATGTATTTAGTTAATAAACAATATTGTGATCTAATTAATATAAGTACTCTGGGTATATGATATCCTATATATGTTATATTTTTCATAAAATCAAATTTTTAATTTCTTTTGTGCATCTACCATGTTTTAGCTCTGCATCGCCCTAAGGTTGACTAGGACCTGGGACCTGGGGCCTACGGCATTAAGTCCACCATTGTCACATTTGTGCATAAAGTGTAAATAAAATAAAATAAAATAAAAACAATTTAATTTTTTGCTCAGGTCACTCACCTTACCCACACAAAGCTAGTATTGCTATTAAGAAGGTTTTTAACTTACCTGGTGAGCGTATATGGTGTCATAGAAGACAGTCCAGGCCAGGGCTCCAGCGTACAGCGGTCCACATACCGCCAGGTCTATATTCCCTTGTATTGCAGAGTACCCAAGCAGAGCCCCCCAGTTGAAGGTCGCGCCGAGGAATATTTGGGGGTAGTTTGTAAATCGTTTAGCTAAGGGATAGGTCACCACCAGCACTGGAAGGGTTGATATTAAGAAAATATATTAATACACTAGTTTTAAACTGAATATGGAGTTTTGAATTTCTGATTTTATTTAATTGACCAGCATAAGTTGAACTGTCATTGAAGAGACTTTTCTTAAAATGACAGACCAAAATATATACTGGGCCCCTTTAGCTTTATAATCCTGCCACCTTTCACCATCACTACCAAACCCCCCCCCCCCCCTCCCCTTGCCCAACTTCTTTATCCCTCACTACCAATACCTCCAACCTCTTTCTCCATCACTACTGATCCCGCCTCCTTCCAAACTCTTTCTCCGTCACTACCAAGTCCTCCCTTCCAAACTGAAAGAGTTTAGAAGGCAGGACTTGGTAGTCCGTCACTACCAATTCCTCCTTTCTAAACTCTTTCTCCGTCACTACCAATCCCTCCCCAAAACTCCCCCTTCTAGAGACAATCAGGCGTAGCTACATAAAACAAAGTACCAGGCGCACAGATATTCTAAGGAAGTGTATCAAATCTGAGCTACTTACACATGCTGCTGGCTCCTAACGCTACACTGTAGCAATTCAATTGTGTCAGGATCCCCAGAGCCAGAGAGAGCTGGGCAGCCAGGAACACCATGGCCTGTGTATGGGATATAGCCCCCGTGACTAGTGGACGATTCTTTGTGCGTTCTACCTGTAAATTAAACATTATGGTCCATTACACTGGTAGATTCTCTGGAGAGTTATATTCTTATTGTGGGGCATGCTTTGCCACAGATGGGGTGGCATGACCAAACTGATACCACGGCCTCACAGGAAACCGATCTCAAGCATTCCTTTCGTTGGTTTTCACTGAGTAAGTGATTTTATCGAAGATCTAGGGAGGACGCCCCAAGGGCGGCACTCGTGTACTCTTGAATTACACGTATTAATGGGCGGTGGTTGTCACTTGCCATCAGGTGACGCGTCTGCTTTTTTATAACTTTACTATAAAAAAACGACGTGAGAAATTTATGGACCCCGGTCGGAATAAGGTTCTTTTAGCTTTTTCTTAGACATTTCCTGTAGTGTCGGAAAAAAGTCTTGTCACAAAAACTACGCAGGACAACAGCACTGCAGAGAGAAGGAAAACTTGACACAAACCCTATACCAACCCGTCTGGCCAGCGTGGTATAGTAGGCCAAAACCTCCTTTCTAAGGAGAGGCTTATGTCCAGTAGTGGACTATTTAAGGCTGTTGATGATGATGATGACACATTTTTTGGTCTCGCTCCCATCAGCTGTGCGTGTAACGCGCGATAAGAAACTCCGTTCCAAAAACTTCTAGTGACCCAAAATAGGTCCGATCCCTTTGAAATTCATACGGAATATTTCGCAAATAATAATTGGCCAATATGGCAAACTTGATTTTACGAATTTCTGGAATAACAATGTGAGTGGATTTTTTTTCCAACAAAAGAAAAGAGCATACAAAAACGCAACTGCATGGAGGGGGGGGCAGCCCAACGGTTGACCTCAGTAAGTTCTACTTATACTAATTACCCGTGTGGTGACAGATTAAGAATACAGTGTCACCACCGATATTCATCCCGTGGGTGTCGTTAGAGCCGACTAAGGGAGCAAACTACGCAGCACTGCAGAGAGAGGGAAAACTTGACCAAACCTCCTGTCTAAGGAGAGGCCTATGTCCAGCAGTGGACTAGTAAAGGCTGTTGATGATACTAATTGGAAAGAGTACTTTCATAGTGCGATGTAGGATAACTTGTTCCTAAGTAGTACAGGTTGTTGTCGCTAGATGTCGCTGTAATAAATATTAACATTTTAACATAAGTAAAAGACAATAGGTAAAATAGATTACCTTAGCATCAACGTCTCGATCCCATAAATCATTGATAGTGCACCCCGCCCCCCTCATTAGACCAGCTCCAACTAAGAACAGCCCGGCGGTCTGGAGGGTTGCGTGCATAGGAACATTGCCTGGTATTGAGCCTAAGGCGATTGACCATGCGCATGGCCAGTATAAGAGGTAGACTCCTGGAAAAAAAAACGACAGTGTTAATGTAATTCAGAATATTGTAACGAGCCAGGTTTTGGAAATTTAAAGAGGTAATTCTGTCTTCAATGCAATTAATTGTAATCAACTTTGTTCTTCACTCCCTTCGCCCTCCAGGAGGTAGAGGTCAAGTTTATTTCAAATTTCAATGACTCCGATCACCGACTGTCTTTGAAATTAGTAACTATTCTCACTGATGATTTGTTTTTATTTTGGACGTGCCTAGGTAATTTTGGACCGGATGGGTGTCCTTTTCCAAGTGTGAGGGACAGTATAAAGAGTCACAGTCTGAATCAAAGGGATCCCCAAATATTTTAAGAATTTTGTATGAATTCCTGCTCTAAAAGCATAATGCTTGTGTTAAGAATGCAGTAGTACACCACCATACTCAAGTTTAATCTGTAACAACTTGTTTGAATGTCCAACGTCAAACCCACTATCTTACTTTCCTAACTTAATCAAGTATACACGGGTATTTCTAATTTACTTACCAATGGGTCGGTCCCATCTCGCCAACTTAACATAAGGATCAATTTTTTCTTTCCAAAAAGTTTCTTCGACTACATCACTAGGGCCCGTCAAAACTTTCTCCTTCAAATCCTCATAAACAATCTTCGGAGTAGATGTCTCTATCACAACTTTTTGTCTATGCTGATCGCTCTGCGTTGAATGCACTCTGATTATCTCATGTCTATGGTTTAACTTTTTTAAATAAATCTGTCCGCACAAACACGAGAATGCCTTTGGTGGTGTATAAATATTTTTATGATGTATATTTAATGTTTTTTGTATAAACTTTGATAGTTGCATATGTTTGTACATCTTAAAACTAGTATTTAACATATTCGTGGGTAGTCACAGCACTGATTTCTGAAACATAAATATTTATTTATTTATTTAAGGTAATTTATACAGAATATAGTAATAAGAAAGTGGCTGGTACCTGAAAAGGTAAAACCTTATATATAGGTACCAGCCACCTTCCAGTGACACTGAGTTTTTTTATGAAGATATACATAGTTTGATTAAAATTGCCCTGTCATCATCATCATCAACAGCCCTCACTAGTCCACTGCTGGACATAGGCCTCTCCTCAGAAAGGAGAAAACCTCCTGCCGCTGGATGGACCAGGAAATTAAGGATGGCATGGGTAGTTGCAATTTTACAGTACGATACGATAGTTACTTATATAGATACTTTCTATAAGCTGACCCATCTGCAACGTCTTACACAAAAAAAAAACAATAGTACTTTTACTTTATTATTTAAATCTTTATTGTTTCATCAATGTCATGAAAGACCAGTAATTAAATTATTCTACTTCCTTGTTTTTTTTTTTAACAATATGTTAAGTTTTTGTAACAAATCGAAAAGCATACCATATGTATTGATAAGATTACTGAATATTCTGATTCGTAATGTGTAGTGTTGTTGATTATAAAGTAACCTTAGAAAGTATACCCAAGACATACTGTTTATTAGAAATATATGACTTACCTATCTATTATTCTGTTAAAAACGACAACGACGCACTAAAAAGATCTAAACACAACTAAACTAATCATTAAAAAAATAATCACCGTGTTTTTGCTGCTGTAAGGTTAATGTCAAACTCAAGGCCAAGAGCACACAGCAATTTGTTACATAGGAAAACTTGTGGTTCGTGTTTTCCTGGGTTTTGGGTAGATATTATCATACATACATAATTGATGAAGAATAATTAATATAAATAAATAAAGAATAAAATTCAATGTGCGCGCGCATGACAGTGACACTTGTGACATAATCAGTAAGTATTTTAATTACGTAATGTCGTTTAGAAATTGTTCAAGAATTTACAAACTTAAGTATATAACTTTATATACTTAAAAAAATTTAAGTATATAACTAAAAATTCTAAATATCATCAGTGAAAAAACAGACTTAAAAATTAAAAAGAAAGTATAAGTTGCTTTGCTGTCCAATCTTGATACAAAAATTTGTATTAATTTCTGCTGATCCTGTTAATACAAAGAATTCTAAGTTAATCTAGCTCTCATAAAACATTTTTGTTAAAGAAATTAGTAGCCTTAAAAAATCTTTTTTGTACAAATACTTTTGAAATCTACCTACATAAGATTTTGGACGAGATAGTTAATGTCAATTAAAAAAAATAGTACAGAAAGACAAATTGTTACCGATTATCGTAAAACATAAAATATTAATATTAATAAATTAGGACTACTAAAATACAGCTAATAAGGCAATTAAATTATTATTTAGAATAAAATAAGTCATATTTCATAGTGCTCAAGAAAGATATAATAGGTAAGAGTGGAGGTAAACTTTAAACTAGTGTGTAGACATTGCATGAAAAAACTTACCCGGCCTTTTTGGCTTATTAAATTACATATATAATAAGTATAATAATTTAGTTTAATTATAACATAAAAGAGAAACAGAAAATTAACTGCATAAATAGACAGAGAATAAATGTAGAATTCTAATTGTGACATTTTGGAAGTTCTGGGACAACCAAATCCAGAAGATTTCGTGTTGTTGTGGTGTATTTTGTGTTCGCTGAAATTGCAGGAGCTTACTATTTTTATGCAATAAAGGGCAGATGAGCAGATGAGTCACCTGATGGTTAATAAGTACCGCTGCCCATGGACCTGGAACTCTTGAGATATATGTGTGTTGACCCCAAGGGGATAGTGGTATGGTATGGTTCAGGCCAGCATTCTTCCTTGACTGTTTTTTTTTATTAACTACTACTAATGACCCCCAGCTTTGCTTGCGTGATATCGATAGCAATATAAATGCAAAAGTTTGTCTGTCTGCTGCCTCTTTATGCTTACTTATTAAATAAAACTCATAAAAAAATCTATTATATTCCTGGGCCAATCTACAACCACCCGTTACTAGGGGGTTAAGCCTTATAAGAAGAAAGGGCAAACAAACTCACAGACACTGTTTTTAAATTTCAAGATAGATACAATGGAATTGGTAAATGTACTGTTTTGATTTGTGCCAGCATGTCAGTTAATAAAGATTAAAAGTTAAAAAGCAATAAAGAGAAAAAAAGATAAATAAAAAAAATGGAATAGAAATGAAATGAAATGAAATGTGAAGTAAAACATGGCAAAAATAAATAAAAATCACACTAATCCACATTACATTTCCAATTAAGAAGTAGCCTGTGCCAAAATAATCTTGTCTTCTATGTAATCCACTTCTGAGTAACAGGTCTTGTGACAGTTTAGGTTATATTGCAGATTTTAGATAGATAGATAAATAATTTATTTGCACACCAGGGTTTTACAGACAGTATCAAGTAATTAACAACAGATGTATTGTACAAAGGTCGGCCTTCTTCCAGGCAACATGGACTGGATTCATTTAGAAATGGTGTAGGTATACAGAAACCTAATATATTAGATTTTTGAAAGAGCTATTTTCTAACTCCTAAAGGTCAAGGATCCTTCCATCATCATCTCAGCAACATGACATATCAACTACTAAACGCAATTACCTATAAAGCTAGAGAAATAAGTTAAAACATGTTGTCGGGCTGTAAAATTTGAGTGTTACCCTGGATTTCTCCAAGATGCCATCATCAGCTCCTGATTTGGTGGTAATAGGACCACCTCGGGAGCATACCCTTTCGATTACAAAAATAATTTTGAAAATCTTTCCACAATTGAATAAAATATCACGTAACAAACATAAAAAATAATAATTGATAACCCCTTTGTTTTACAAGTCGGTTAAAAATGAATGGTTAATCTTTTAAAGCCTAGAGGCAGGTATAGATAGTTCAACTCAGTTGTGTGCGTGGGCTTGTAAATATACAACTTTCATTCGTGTGGCAGTCGTCGTCCGAGCACCGCGTCACTGCCACACGAATGAAAGTTGTATATTTACAAGCCCACGCACAAAAAAAGAAAGAAAGTATATATGTATTTATATCAGTTGTCTAGTACCCATAGTACAAGCTCTGCTTAGTTTGGGACTAGATGGCGTGGTGTGTATGTGGTAAAAAAAAATTACCTCACGTTGTAAAAGACAATCACGAGTTGCGTTGTTTGCAGATGATACATCACTATTATAGGGCCGCGCGCACAACTGAGTTGAACTATCTTTACAAGAAGTTTATTTCTATTGCTGGTTTTTTTTTATAGTGTATGATGTATCTAGTGGTATGCCTTAATATGTCATAGTATCCACAAGGTCTAATTCGATTTCCTTAATCTTTGGCCGTCACTGCCTTGATGTTTAACTTGGTAAACCGTATACACTTAGTTTTTTGTACATTTAATAATAATAATAATAACTAATAATATTCTACCACATTCGCACAACACCATCTAGTCCCAAACTAAGCAGAGCTTGTACTATGGGTACTAGACAACTGATATAAATATATAACTTTTTATTTGTAAATACATACATATTATACATAGAAACACCCAGACCAAATCAAACATCAAATGTTCATGCACACAAATGTTTGACTTGAGCGGGAATCGAACCCGCGACGTTTGTGATAGCAGTCCGTTACACAAACCACTACGCCATCCAGTCGTCGTGTAATTGTTTATCTAGATATAAAATTACTCGCTCTGACTGGCTCATTCATCAACGCAGGGCATAAAATGCTAGGGCTACAAACTTATGACCTCTGTCCTCCATAAGCGCAGACCTGGGGGTATTAGCGACGCGCCAGACGCGCTTCGAAGCGCGCGCCCCCCTTTCAGGAGCACAAAGGGGGTCATTTACGCAGGTAGATGGCCCGAGGTACGTCGGGGTATCAGGGTTTTCCTTCCTAGGGTACACCTGGTTCCCGGCAACTGGTACCCGAGACGGCGTGCGGTTTTTGGTCGGTTCGAGTCCGACATAACCACCGGTGGGTGGTATCCGAGGGGATTTCCGCACAGAAAAAAAAAGGGGATACAAACTTGAAATTTCGCCAGCTGGTGCTTTTTATATTATATTCACCTAGTAAGAAAGGATTTTCGGAAATTTTATCCCTAAGGGGCAAAATTAGGGATAAACGGTTGTTTAGTAATTGGAACAGCTGTAGTGTAAATGGCTTGATGAATTTGGCGTCTGAGGTGTCGTTAATAATAATAATAATATATTTATTTGTCAGAATATGGGTATACAGAGTTGTTGTTGAGTAGTTGACTTGACTGCACGGATGGCGTAGTGGTTTAAGCGGTCGCCACGCCGCTTCCTACTACCTCAAGTGTTGTGGGTTCAAACCCCACATGGGACGACACTTTGTGTGATCCACAAATTGTTGTTCTGAGTATATGTGGTCTTTGTGTCCGTTTCATGTATGTTTGTAAAGTCCCCCGCGACACAGGATATATTCCTAATGCGGGACCTGTCTTTTAAAAAAGTTACATTTTAGATGCTAGCCACATTCTACCATTGTCTGGTGAAAAAAATGTTAGTAGAGTGAATTTATGGTAATTTTTTGTTTATCCAGGTACAACATTATCATGCATTACTACTATGTCACAATTTCTTATCGTCAAAAAATTCTTGGATACTGTAGAAACATTTATCTAAGAGCAACGTAAAACTTTCAAAACATATATATATATATATATATATATATTATATTCACCTTAATTGTAAGAGTGACAGTGGCCATATCAAAATTATAAAAATCGCCACTTTGTAAATTTTAAGAACCCATGCAATTTAAGGCAGTTGGGTTTTTGATTTTTTCAATACTTAATCACTTTATTGATACTCTATTTTTCACTTCTTTCAGATAAAACAAAAAAGCAATCCAGGATTAACATATGAAACAGCGTAAAACTCTAGATGGCGCCACCAAAGAAGCTTACTTTAAATAGAACTAAAGAGAAACCCTTGCTTCAATGCCCTGATTGTGATAAGGTAATTATTATTTTAAGATATGAACCTGACATAACAGGATTTTTAGGGTTCCGTACGTCAAAATAAAAAACCGAACGCTACAGGATCAATTTGTTGTCCGTCTGTCTGTCAAGACCCTTTATATCGGGAACTCGTGAAGGTATCGAGTTGAAATTTTAACCTTTTACTCATTTCTACAGTCCCTTGAAGCTGTGAAAAAATTAAACTTCTAAGATAACGTTAAAAAAAGATACGGTCGTTTATGCCAGAAAAATGCATATTTCGACACTCAAGGAAATCAAAATTTATAGGGTACTTCCCGCTGACCTCTTTGATTAACCGTGGATTCATTCCGTGGGTGTCGTAAGAGCCGACTAAGGCAGCAAACTAAACAGGACAGCAGCACTGCAAACAGAATTAAAACTTGACACAAACCCTATACCAACCCGTCTGGCCAGGTGGTAAAGTAGGCCAAAACCTCCTTTCTAAATAGAGGCCTATGTCCAGCAGTAGACTGTTAAAGGCTGTTGATGATGATGATGGTAAGTCACCACCGCTGCCCATGGACATCTATAACTTACGTCACAGTCAGGGGGTGTTTAGTCCTCTGATAACCACACTTAACGGTGAAAAGCCAGAAATTATAAGATCAATTCTTACCCAGGAATAATAACTGTTCTTTGTCTGGGTGTAATTAATCTATACAAATAAATAAAATTGGAGTGTCTGTTTGTAATATTAAAATAACCGCTTTTTATTACTAAATGCATATGTACACGGTACATATGCCAAAATATATTTTTTTACAATTTTTGTCTATCTGTCTGTCTGTTTGTTCCGGGTAATCTCTGCAACGGCTGGACCGATTTCGACGGGACTTTCACTGGCAGATAGCTGATGACATAAGGAGTAACTTAGGCTACTTTTTTTAGACTAGCTTCGCCCCGCGGCGTTGCCCGCGGTTATAACAACAAACGCGGGTATCACCGCGGGTCTCAGCTAGTCTACAATATAAATAGTATATATTGTAGTATGTAAAAATATATAAGTATGTTTATCAGCAGTCTGGTTACCATAGTACAGACTGTTTTTTTTTTAAAGGCATCTCCCGCATTAGAAATATATCCTGTCTCGTGGGGGACTTTACAAACATACATGAAACGGACACAAAGAACACCCAGACTCAGAACAACAATTGGTCGATGTGTCGTCCCATGTCGGGTTGGAACCCACAACAATCGGCGCAGTAGGAAGCGGCGTGGCGACCGCTTAAACCACTACGCCATCCGTGCATCGTGCTGTGCGCTAGTTACTGAACAGATGGCCGTATGTGAGATGTTGTCTTTCAATAAATTTCAAGGCGACCGTATAGCCTAGTGGTTTGTGTAACGGACTGCTATTCCAAACGTCGCGGGTTCGATTCCCGCTCAAGTCAAACATTTGTGTGCATGAACATTTAATGTTTGATTTGGTCTGGGTGTTTCTATATATAATAAGTATGTATTTACAAAAAAAAGAAAGTATATATGTATTTATATCAGTTGTCTAGTACCCATAGTACAAGCTCTGCTTAGTATGGGAGTAGACGGCGTTGTGTGAATGTGGTAGATTATTATTATTATTATTATATTAATTTTGCAGATCCTACCAGACAAATCATCATACGAGCAGCATCTCAAGCTCCACTCCGATGACTTCCCATTCTCCTGCAGCATCTGCTCCTACAAGTGTAAGATCAAGAAGTACCTGTCACGCCACGTCAAGAAAGTCCACAATAAGGCCAATGGCCCGGAGTGCCCTGTGTGTGGGAAGGTGTTCCACTTTGATTCCAACTTGAAGAATCATATGCGTGTACATACAGGTGATTTTTTTTTTGTGTTCAACTAGCTATACCCCTTTTTTTTTCCATGCGGAAATGCCCTCGGATACCACCTGTCGGTGGCATGTCGGACTCGAATCGACTAAAACCGCACGCCGTCTCGAGTGCTAATAGCCGGGGAACCAGGTATACCCTAGAAAGGAAGTCCCTGGTGCCCCGACATACCTCGGGCCATCTACAACAACAGGTAGACGACCCCCCCCCGTGTGGGAACCCCATGTTCCCTCTGCTCCCTGGAAGCGAGCGCGCTTCGCAACGCGCTCGCCGCCACCACCGGTGACAGATGGAGCTGTACCCTGCCATGCTTCGCTGTGGTACATTTTGGTTGTATTGATGAAGATTGAGCAGCAAAACTGATGTAAAAAATAGATAAAAAACAATTTTTGAAGTGGGTTCTATATCGTGTCAAAATTTGATCTCAAACGGTTCAGAAATTGTGACTTCTGAGTTATTTATTTATTTTTATTTATTTATTTAGTTGCAGACGTTCATAAGTTTTTGAAGTGTACACAAACTAACTTAACATTAAATATATTAGAGACTAGCTGATACCCGCGACTTCGTTCACACGGAATTTGAAAAGCGCTGTCTTAGCGATACGCGACTGCAGTCCTGTGGACTCTCGGGTTCAACTCCCGGACCGGGCAAAATTTTATGGGGTTTTTCTGAGAGGAGAAGTAGCCTAAGTTACTCTTTATATAGACAGCTACCTGGTAGTACAATATTATCAAAATCGGTACAGCCGTTTAGAAGAAACAGATAGACAGACAAAAAATATTTAACCTGATTTTTAGGCGTAGGTATCGCGTGTGAGCATGAAAAAAGACTATTATTTTGACAATACAAACAGACACTTCAATTTTTTTTAGTTGTATAGATAGATATTATTATTATTAAAGCTAATCTTGAAGTGATATTAATGCTTGTTAGTGTCCTTGACTGCTAAGCTGGAGGTCGTGGGTTTGATTCCCACCCAGGACAAATAATTTTGTGTGCCAGCGGGATCATTTGTTCTGTGTCTGAGTGTAATTTATCTAAAATATAAATGTATTTAAAAATATATAAGTATGTTTATCGGCAGGCTTGTTACCATAGTACAGGCTCTGTCTACTTTGGGATCAGACGGCCGTTTGTGATGTGTGAGGTATAGTATAATTAGACCCATGCTTTGGCACAAACGGGCCCGGGTCTACTGCCAGCGATACTAAGGCGTCACGGAAAACCATTGTTAACGTTACTGGAGCACAACCTCCCCCCCCCCCTACTCTCATTTTAAGAGAAGGGAAATTCTCGAAGGGATACATTACTCTTGTGTTTCTTGAGATGCAGCTGTCCATGGCTGGGCCTCAATCCTGCTATTTTATGTTAACGCCAAGCTACAATCATTCTATTGACACGCTATTGAGATGCCATTGAGACGCCATTGACATTGGTCAAAATATCAGTATTCTACTAACATAAATTCAGTGTCAATAGACTGTCGATAAAGTAATATAGGTGATCATTGACGATATCAACAACATTGCCGTACCTGGAAAATTAAATATATCATTTCCTTACAAATTTAAAATGTAGCGTTTACAAAACTATAACAAAGACATCGACGACATTTGTATCAGTGGCAGTACAGTCACAAGCCATCGGGAGGCCATTGGTCTTACATAGTTAGTAGAATACGAAAAGTGCAAAACTATTCCGACGACATTCCATCGACAGTCTATTGATCATCATCAACAACCTACGAGTATAACAGTCCACTGCTGGACGTAGGCTTCTCCTTAGAAAGGAGGTTTTGACCACGCTGGCCAGACGGGTTTATATAGGGTTTGTTTCAAGTTTTCCTTCTCTTTGCAGTGCTGTTGTCCCTTAGTCGGCGTAGTTTGCTCCCTTGGTCGCCTCTTACGACACCCACGGGATGAATAGGGGTGGTGACATTCCGTATTCTTATTCCGTCACCACACGGACACCGTCTATTGATACAATATTTAAATTGCAGAATTGAGGCCCAGGTTTCCCGACTGCTCGTTTGCCGCCTGTACTAATAAGTATTGTATTCTGTTTCAGGCGAAAAACCTTACAAGTGTGGAGTTTGCAAAAAGGCCTTCAGTTCATCGTATTGTCTTTCGATGCACAACATGATACATACTGGTGAGTGATCTTGACAACCTCCGTACTAGGAATATATCCTGTGAGGACTTTTCGACACTCAGCGCAGTAGGAAGCGGCGAGGTGACCGCTTAAACCACTTCGATATCCGTGAAGTAGCTTGAAAGGGGCAGAAGTGGGTAGTTGGGCTGTTAAGGTGTTGTCTAGAACTACTAGGCTCGCAGACATTTCGAAGAGGTCAACACTCAGCGCAGTAGGAAACGACGAGGTGATCACTTAAACAGATTCGCCATACGTGGAGTAAGCTTGACGTTGGTTGAAAGGCAGTGGCAGAAGTGTGGTTATTCTATCAAGATATAGTCTTGAAGTACTAGGCTTACAGACATTTCGAAGAGGTCAACACTCAGCGCAGTAGGAAACGGCGAGGTGACCACTTAAACAGCTTCGCCATACGTGGAGTAAGCTTGAAGTTGGTTGAAATGCAGTGGTAGAAGAGTGGTTGGGTTGTTAAGGTATTGTTTAGAAGTACTAGGCTCACAGACGTTTAGAAGAGGTCAACACTCAGCGCAGTAGGAAACGGCGAGGTGACCGCTTAAACCACTTCGATATCCGTGAAGTAGCTTGAAAGGCAGGGGCAGAAGTGTGTGCAGTTGGGCTGTTAAGGTATAGTCCGAAGTACTAGGCTTACAGACATTTCGAAGAGGTCAACACAGCACAGTAGGAAACTGCGAGGTGACCGCTTAAACCACTTCGCCATTCGTGGAGTAGCTTGCAGTTGGTTAAAATGCAGTGGTAAAAGTGTGGTTGGGCTGTAATGGTATTGTCTAGAGGTACTAGGCTCGCAGACATTTCGAAGAGGTCAACACAGCACAGTAGGAAACTGCGAGGTGACCGCTTAAACCACTATAGTCCATCCAATTTATGAGGTACCGTTTGACAGTTCATTTAAAATTACATTAAATCGCATATATTTATGAGTATTATTAATCAGATGTACGTATTATTAAATACGCATGGATTGGAAATGACTCGTTAATAAATTGAATTTTTCGTACATTTTAACGATAATTTGTAAGCAAGTGAATTTAATGAGCCACAACACTACGGTAAAGGACCTTACTACGTGACCTTGAAACGAAGTCGGAAAAAAATAAATGTGTATATTATATTGGTTATTTTGTTTTAATTCAAAGATAAAATAAAAATAGCTTTATAATTCCATGGTTTTACAAAAATGGTTATTGGAATTGTGTGATTTACGCCAATACAAAGTTGTTTCGTCTTTAAAAGTATGAAACGTCAAACGGTACCTCTTAGAGTATGTGTAGTTATCGAGTAATGGAACGAATCGAAGGTTCCAGAAATAGTCGCAATATTCCAGATTGTGTTTTGCTTCTGCGCATACGACGCCTCTTTTTCGTTACATGTTACTGAATGAGTTTTGAATTGAAAATTTCTTTAGGCGTATTGGGCATTTGAACAACAAAATAATGTATTTAGAGATGGGAAAAAATAATTGAACTCGCTACACCGTCCCCGTTACCGGCAAAATGGGGGTTGAATTATATGAAACTTCGTTATTATTGGTAGGAGCTTTTTTAACCTCAAACTAAATACTCTTTATTATAAATAACTAGCTGAGACCCGCGTTTGTTGTCATAACCGTGGGCAACGCCGCGGGGTGAAGCTAGTCTAAAAAAAGTAGCCTAAGTTACTCCTTATGTCATCAGCTAGCTGCCAGTGAAAGTCCCGTCGAAATCGGTCCAGCCTTTCCAGAGATTACCCGGAACAAACAGACAGACAGACAAAAATTGTAAAAAATGTTATTTTGGCATATGGCGTGTAAACATACATATGCATTTAGTAAAAAGCGGTTATTTTAATATTACAAACAGACACTCCAATTTTATTTATTTGTATAGATTATCTTCTTTTATATACATATATATACCTATAATCTTGACTCATTGTATCCTCGACGATAGGTGATTTCGAACAACAAGCGGAAGAAACTTGTCTAGTATATTTTAATACCATTCTACCATTTAAATACCATTTAATTTAATTACCATTTAAATACCATTCCAATTCTTTTTTTTATTTCTTCATATTTCCTTTTCTAAACATAGAAATACCTGGTTCAAATTAGGCTCGAAGGACCACAATGTCCCGTGACATCAGATAGTTGTTGGAGCAGTGGAGTGGAGTGGATGATTAGATAAAACTAGCTGACCCGCGCAACTTCGTCTGCGTCTCTCAATAGTAATAAATCTCCGTTTTTGAAACATTCTTCATTGGTGCTCCACTCCTATTGGTCTTAGCGTGATGATATATAGCCTATAGCCTTCCTCGATAAATGGGCTATCTAACACTGAAAGAATTTTTTAAATCGGACCAGTAGTTCCTGAGATTAGAGCGTTCAAACAAACAAACAAACTCTTCAGCTTTATAATATTAGTATAGATTTACCTAATCAGTGATTTTATACTACTACGCGTCGTGTGTTTAGTCCAGCGATCGATATACGAGCTGGTAAAAATACCGTTAAAAACCATTGTTTTTTGTGTTTTTGAGACGACTTTATATTAATGTAGAATAACTCTCTTAAGGTACTTCTCAAAATCTGCGCCTTTAGAGCAATTTGCTGGCTGCACACACCGTCCCAAATCTTCTATATATCTGAAAATATTAGAGGAAATATAGATGAACTAGCCGACGAGTACCGATGAAGCCGGTGTAGCCGGAACGGGCCAGGTACCGCAGCCGACTCAGGCGCCGGAGGTCGCAGAACGACCTCCGTCCTCCATAAGCGCAGTCCTGGGGGTGACAGGTGAGGCCATCTGTCACCCTAGCAGAAGCAGGCCGGGGTGGCGGCGAGCGCGTTGCGAAGCGCGCTCGCTTCAAGGGAGCAGAGGGAACATGTGGTTCCCAGACGGGGGGGTCGTCTACTTGTTGTAGATGGCCCGAGGTATGTCGGGGCACCAGGGACATCCTTTCTAGGGTATACCTGGTTCCCCGGTTATTAGTACCCGAGACGGCGTGCGGTTTTAGTCGGTTCGAGTCCGACATGCCACCGATAGGTGGTATCACAGGGGATTACCGCACGGAAAAAAAAAGGGGGGGACATGTGACTACTCGTTTGCCCATAGGGGGCAAACAGGTCATGAAGTGTGTCTATTTGTCTGTCTGTCTGTAACCTCTTCACGCTTAAACCGCTGCACTGATTTAGATGAAATTTAGTATAGAGATCATCCGATTCCCGGGCAAGGGCACAGGGTAGTTTTTATCCTAGACAGCATTATTAAAGAGGGTGATGCTTTTTATGTTGTAAGCACCCACTAAAAAAGGATTTTTGGAAATTTCACCTCAAAGGGGGTAAAGTATAAGGGATGAACGGTTGTATGGAAGTTCGTTATTTTCAAATGTTAAAAACATGAAATGAGAAATGAACAGAAGAGTGATACCACTGGTGATAAAATACAATACCAAATAGCTGCGGTGAAGGAATTGGTACAAAATTTAACCACTTAATGCGGCCCCTTCAGTCAGTTCAGTGGGGGGTTACTAAGCTTTCTGCCGTCAATATGTGGTATTATCAACAGCCTTCAACAGTCCTCTGCTGGACATAGTCCTCTTCTTAGAAAGGAGTTTTTGGCCTTCTATACCACGCTGGCCAGACGATTTGGTATAGGGTTTGTTTCAAGTTTTCCTTCTCTCTGCAGTGCTGTTGTTCTGCGTAGTTTATTATTATATATTATGTGGTCAGATATCTATATGTCAGCTGACAACACTTGGATCGCGTACAGTCGGAAATTGACAGAATGAATTCGGTGCTATCAGCTCCAAGAACCTACTAGAAGCACAGAAGCCTCCTGGGGTAATCACAGGTTCTAAGAGCGATTTTACATCAGGGGTTATACTAGCCCGTTAAATGGCCATCTACCTCGCATTCCAGGCCGTTTCTTTTGCTTTAAGACATTTTCTGCAAAGGAGACTGTCTGTCGCATTAATGATGAATAGTTCTCGTTTAGGGCTAGGTATCCCCATTATAGTTCCTACAACTGTGAAGACTGACCAGTCTGCAAGTAAACAGCCTTTAATAGCCCACTTCTGGAAATAGGCCTCTCCTTAGAAAGGCGGTTTTGGCCTACTATACCACGCTGGCCAGACGAGTTGATATTGGGTTTGTTTCAAGTTTTCGTTCTTCGTTCGGCTCTTACGACACCCACGGGATGAATAGGGGGTGGTGACACTCCGTATTTTTAGTCCATCACCACACGGACGGTCTTCAGATAGAAATTTCAGTCAGCACCAATTTGGACTGCCTGCAGCTGGGTGTGGTTTTCCACCTTCGGTTGTGTGCTTAACGAATGCGTTCACGAGTTAGTTGAAAAGCAGTGGCAGGAGTGTGGTTGGACTGTTAGGGTATTGTCTAGAAGTACTAGGCTCCCAGGTATTTGGAAGAGTTCTCAACCAACGTTTATCTGTGTGTCATAAATAATTACTATCAATATGATAAGGCAATACGATATAAACATTATGTATTTATGTGTGCGCAGTAATTTCGAGGTGTACTCAATATTGGGAAATTTGGGCCCCAAGGACCAGGATTGCATCAATTTTATGGAGGTTTAATACAATTTGCGGTGACTTCATAGTAGAGAATATTATACTGTTAAGGATGGCCACGCATTTGTGGCTCTTCCAGTTGCAGGTGTCCACGGGTGTTGGCAGTCACTTGCCATTAGGAGACCCGACTGCTTGGGCGTAAATAAAAAAGTAAAAAAAATTTTCGCTAATGAAACAATTCTGGAATGCACAGTAGTTAATTTTTATCTAAAGTTATTGTATTTGTGAAAAATATGTCTCAATACTCATCTATACTATATACTATAATATTATAAAGCTGAAGAGTTTGTTTGTTTGTTTGTTTGTTTGTTTGTTTGTTTGTTTGAACGCGCTAATCTCGGGAAGTACTGATCCGATTTGAAAAATTCTTTCAGTGTTAGATAGCCCATTTATCGAGGAAGGCTATAGGCTAT